GGAGACAAGCATTTATTTAAGTGTTTATCACTTGTAACTTAGTTGTGTCAAACAACATAACTCTAAATAAATAAATTTTAGATTCTATCTATATATAAATTGCTGTTGTTTGTGTCGTTAAAATTCAAGATAATTGGACCGGGTTAATTTTGATCGTGAAATATTTGTGGAAGTGAAAGGAAGGTCTTAACGATGAGAAACATGTATAATATATAATAAAAAAAACAAAAACATAAGTAACTTAATTTTTAAATACAATTAGTTTTTGGCATCAAAACATTTGTGATCCTTTGGTTTTTTTTTAATAAAAAATTTTCACTAATTGTCAAATATTTTTAGATTCGTTCAGAAAATTCAGTTTCATAACTATCGTATGAGTTCCGATCCCTTTAATCTGTTTTGAAAACAGTTATTCATGAGTCAGTGTTTATGGAATCCTAAAACAAAGGAAGCATGCTTCCTTGTTGACCACGACGCTCAGAAACGAGCTGCCGATTAATGAGAGAGAGAAAGAAACAAAAACACCTGGTGCCGTTACTAGAAAGGTTTTACTTTAAATCATTTTCAAACGTGATATTGTTTGTTTGAGGTTCAAAATTAGTTATCTGAAAAATACATAAAAACAGATAACTAAAAACTTTGTGGTAGTCTCTGTTAATTGCTGTAGTTTGTCCAGTGATGACTTAAGAGAACCCTTACTCTGTAACTTCCAGCAATTCTGATTCCAATAACCAGGTTTTTTCCGCGCGATCCCAAGGAACATCAGCGTATATACTCAGAGAAACTACATGGAACTTGCATACAAAAACTTCGTTATTAGAAGTTACAGATTACTGACGCTGCCCTGCATTATTCAGTATGGAAGGCACAAACAGTCTTGTTTAGAAAAACCTATTAATTGTATTCTAATTTATTACCTTATACATAATAAATGCTATTATTATGAGTAGGAGAAGACCAAGTAATGATGATAGTATTATTATCCATAGCGCTACACGAGTTGAACTTATATGAAGACTTGTACTTAAACTGAAAACAAAACACTGTAATGTACTAAAACAACAATTAAGAAACAAAACAACAACAAGACAACAGTTGAATAGTATAGCACGCGTTTTTTACAACCCTTGGCCTCAGATTTCTATATCTATTATATTCATTTGTTTTTTTTTTAGGCAAGTAGGTGATCAGCCTTCTGTGCCTAATACTCTTCACGTTGTTTTCTTTTATCGTACGAGCAAGTGTTAAATGCGTACATAGATAAGTACATTGGGGCTATCCAGGGTTCGAATCTACGACTTTAGGGATGTGAGTCTCACTCTCAAATCTCAATCCACTACGCCAACACTTTACCAAATGAAGGCTTTACTATAACCAATTTTAAATTTCTAATACAGAAACGTCTTTTTAATCTGTTGACAATAAGCACCCTTAAGTTTATATGTCGTTACAAAAAATTATCGAAATTATTTGTGTTCGTGTGAAAAGATTTTTGGGATTCATGTAATATGAATCGAAAAATCTTTGATTGGTTCGTTACAATGTCAATTAAAAAGGAACAGCTGTAGGTTGTCAAAAAGACAATTAATAATAAAAAATAAAATAAAATAAAGAATTATAATACCTCAAAAATGTGTCGAACCTCTCATCCTTCGTTACTAAGTACAGCTCAGTTACAATCTCAGTTGTAGTGTCTTCATCTTTCGCGTCTTAAAGTTAACAATACGTAAAAATACCTGTTTGTTTGCTAATATTTATTTCAAAAGTGGTGAATGGTTTCCACGACTTTGTTTACGCAATTTTATCAACCAATTTTTAAAAGGCCGGCAACGCACTTGCAACCCTTCTGGCAATGTATATGTCCATGGGCGGCGGGTATCATTTATCATCAAGTGAGTCCGTTTTCAAAAATGTTGATAATTATAATATAAGGTCGATTAATATAATTCCCCTTACTATATAAAACCTACACAATACATTACTAATATTTCACTATTTTAGTTAACTTTTGTGTTACCGTCTTATTTATTTTAGTGCTTAATAAAAACTAATTATACTAAAACAATAATGTGATTGTTCATCACATAATTAATAACATGATGAAATAAGAAAGTTACAAAAATGTTTTTTTCTTTGATTCTTCGTGGCGTTTGTGTTTTGATGACTTTGAAGCTAAACAATAATCTTACACAGAAGGATAAAGCAAGGAAGAAGTGGCTATTTGGTACCTTCTTCCTTGCATCTTTAATGATTATATAAATATATGTATAATTATTACCGAATGAATCCTTTAGTAACTCTATAGAAATATGTATTTGTGCTTTTTGTTTACGATTTAAGGGGAAATTGCAGACAAAAATAACACCAGAATAATTGTCCATTGCACATTGTATTGCACCTGATTCCGGATACACCTGTTAAATAATAAATATTAATAAAACTGTTACTGAGTTTCGAACATCAAAGCCTACAAATGTAGTCTTTATACATCTCTTTTTTTTCATTTAATAAGTTTATTGAATAAATTTTTTACCTAAATCTTTGATCTTGTTTTATGATGAAAATGATCTTTTTTCGCCTAATCTTTGAGGAAAGAACTGCAGAATTCATAAAAAAAAACAGTGGCGCTACAACCTCTTTAGGTCTTGGCCTCAGTTTCTGAATCTGTTTCATGATCATTTTTATCTAATAGGCAAGTAGGTGATCAGTGCCTGACACACGCCGTTGACTTTTGGGTCTAAGACATGTCGATTTCCTCACGATGTTTTCCTTCACCGTTCGAGCAAATGTTAAATGCAGAAAGAAAGTCCATTGGTGAACCTACGACCTCAGGTATGAGAGTCGCACGCTGAAGCCACTAGGCCAACACTGCTCATTCAGAATTCATAGGCACATACAATAGCTACATCATAAAATACATATGTACAATGCACATAGGTTAGTAGATCACCCGTTTCACCTAAAATTATATTTCAATTCCGCTACATGCTTCAGGTTCTCACTTTATTACTAACGCACATTCAGAGTAGATTAGCTCTAAGAGTGACTCTCGAATGTCAAATACGATTGATTGAGTCATAGTTTGAGTCTCAACTCAGAATCTTATCCTTAGATATTTACACAAATTCGGAATTGCGCGCCAAAATAAATGTCGCTAGCTGGAGTTTTAACATATGATCTCATGTTTGTGCATTTAAAAACAAATGTTTGTATTAATATAATAATATAAATTAAACCAAAACTATAAAGCGATGTCGTATATTGCTGATATGTTTCTTACCAAAGCTGAACTATTGAAGACATTGATATGTTCCGAATTATTAAAAAGAATTTTAAACTCCAAGTCCACCCAGTTGGTAACACCATCGTTGGTTATCTGTGAGATTAAAAACAGTTACCAGAAACAGGTCTATACTAACAGAATATAAAGGCAAGAAAATCGTAAAAATCGTTATTAAATCTCTGTATAAAAATATATTTAAATAGCGTAGAGCAATTTCCCTCATCATTAGTAGTCTCATGTAGACAATTCGATTTGATTTAATAGAATTTTCATTAAAAAAAATATATTAAAAATTTCTAAATACAGAATGCATTTTTAGGAGAAAATTTCTAGCGTTTGAGTATATTTAATCTTGGGATTGGGCTTGGCTCGATTCTTTCTTGATCGTTTTTTAATAGCCCCTTCTAAGCCTGACGCACCGTTGATTTTTGGACTATGGCATTCGTCACATTTCCTTCAATGTACGAGTGTTAAAAGCGCATAAAAGTTAAATAAAGTTTCATCGCGCGCATATATACATATTTATAAGTATAAAAAAATACATTTACGTACCGTATAAACATGTTTAATTTGTTTCTGAAAATCTTTGAGTTCGTTTATCGTAGTATTTATAATATCACTGGGATTTGATTGTCTGTAAAAATCAAATTGTATAATAAACTAGCTGACCCGGCAAACATTTGTTTTGCCATGTACCTATGTTATTTGTAGGAAATATTATTTTAGTTCATTCTTATGAAAATATTTATGCATATTCAGTAAGTCTGAGAATCGGCTACTATCTATCTTACAAACCCCTAAGTGATAAGGGGTGTCCACCCCAAAAAAAAAATTTTAGACAATTTTTTTTTATGATACAGCATACAAAAATACACACAACCCTTAATTTTCTCCCCTCTGCAATCAACCCCTATTTTTATTTGTTAGTTAAAAACTTATCACTTGAACTCTAAGGTTTATATAATATATAGAAAAATTCACAGGAAAACCTAAAAAGTTTTCATTCCGGCAAATCGAACAGTCTCTGGGGTAGCATAGCAAAATGTTCCATGTTGGTATGTACTAAAAAGGCAGGCTAAGTAAAATCACATTAAGGAGAAACGAAGTTCGCGGGGGCAGCTATTAATATTTAATAATCAATGGCGCTGCAACTCTGTATCTGTTGCATGGTCATTTACCAATCTAATAAGCAAGTAGGTGATCAGCCTCCTGTGCCTGACAAACGCCGTCGACTCTTTGTGTCTAACACGAACCGGTTTCGTCACGATGTTTTCCTTCACCGAGCGAATGTTAGAGAAATTCCATTGGTTCACAGCCGGGAATCGAACCTTCGACCTCAGGGATGTGAGTCGCACGCTGAAGACACTTGCCCACACTTCTCAGTGCAATATTATATATACACATTACACACCCTTTTATCTCAAAATTTGATTCAGGATACAATTTTATAGAATTATTAAATGTCTTTTTATCTGTAGTGTCATCACAATGAGAATATAGGTCGTATTTAATTAATATGCTGTCATCCTCACTTTTTAAAGTATTCATTTCCATTTCCATATAGTTAATATTCTGAAAATAAAATGTTTTATTATCTTAAATACATGTCGGAGTAATGGCGCTGGTATCAGCTGCCATTTTCATTATTAAATAACTTCAAAGTCAAATTAGTTCAAATCTGTTAAGACCTACAAATTAACAGACTATTTGATAGTCTGTACTTATGTAATAGTCTTTATTACTTATGTTGAAGCAATTGTGTTAGTGTCAGCTGCCATTGTCATTACCATTTAATAATGTCAATGTCAAATTGGTTCATAACCGTTAATAATGGTTTATGTTAATTGCCAATGTTGCTAGATCTATAAATTAACGACTATTCAATGGTCGAGAATAATAATGACTCCATTAATTATTCTACTCCTCTCTCCATCATATATAATTCAACCGATTTGAATGATTTTTTTTGTATGTATTTGGGTGGCGCCCTGGATGGTTTAGATTCACAAATCAGCCCGGCAGATGGCGCTGCAATCGGTATCTAGTTTATTTATCTATACAGCATATAAACAGCTGGCATATATATATATACTTCTGTGCATGTGTTCGTAATTAAACTCCTAAACGGCTGGACAGATTTTGATAACATTTTTGTGTGTTCAAGTGGAGTCGAGAATGATTTACATAGTAAGATATATTTTTTGTATGTAAGACGTAGACAGCAAAGAAAGTCCTATCAATTATTATTTATGTCTCATAATCATTCGTTAGTTTATTTAGTTCATAGTATCAATGGCGCTACCATCTTTTAGGTCGGGGCCTAAGATTTGTCTCTCCATGATCATTATTTTTAATAGACAAGGTTGATCCCCATAACCTTCTGTGCCTGACATCGTCGACTTTTTTTGGGTCTAATGCCGGTTTCCTAACGATGTTTTCTTTCACCGTACAAGCGAGTGTTAAATACGCACATAGAAACTCTATTGGTACACAGCCGGGGATCGAACCTACGACCTCGGGGATGAGATTTGCACCTTGAAATCACTAGGCCAACGAAGTATTATCACGAGAAATTAATCACAATTTCTTAAAGTTTCATGATTCGTGGCACTGATGTCGTCAGAATTGAACAGAATACCTTACCCAAGTATTTCCCTTCAAAACGGAAATGGTAGGACTACAAATAAATTCCTCATATAAACCCAGAACACAGTCTTTTGATGCCTTCAAAATTCGAACTCCACGCACTTCCACCTTCATACAAGGGGCGTACGCATTGTCACCAGAGTTGTATATAGATATATTAAAATATTCTCTTTCCGTTGAACCTATTATATATTTGTCCCTGTAAAATTTTATATTTATCAGTTCTGGAACAAGTGTTGTATTGCGATTTGGAGCACATTCAATTCAGCTCCTACAATTTAGTGAATTTACAACAATTTTTATTTCTTTTTCTGATTAGACGAAGTAAGAGTAGTTCTGCCACATATGTGTTTGTGAATTCTGGCACATATGCATGCATTACTTGCATTACCATACCCAATTTCCCCGTACTAGACTATCTAAAGTTAGTAATTCTTTTTTGGGAAAAGGGATACTTTCTTTAATAAAATCCCAGAGGCTCTTTTATCTCTGCCTTTTAATAAATTTAAGAAATGAAAAAGATGAATTAAAGAAAAGCTGTGTAAAAAGGCTTACTATAAAGTTAACGATTATCTAGTTGATAAAATGGCCTGGGACTAGTGGTAGACAGGCTACTTCTAATTAATTTTGCGATATTTGTTTTAAAATGAGTGTTGTTTGATGATTTGATATTTTAAAAGGGTACTGTGCCTACATGATTAATATAAATGCATCAATGTTTTAATATAAATTAGTATTGTACCAACACTCGTATTAAATAGTCTTGTCCTAAAGAGCCTCGTTGCATTACAATACTCAGTACCTTATAAGGACATCCTAATAACAAGAGTTTTTTACGCCGACTTTTTCTCTCGGCCCTCTGTCTTCTTTGCCGATGAGTATGTCTACCTATTCCAATTTAATGACGTGGAATAAGTGATACCTGTATCTTATATTCCATAATAAACATATTTTATTTTTATGACAGTAGGGCTTAAGCTACTTACATTAATGATGTCGTCAAAGTAGGTTTGAGATTAGGCATGCATCTCGCCCCGGTACAACGGGAACTAGTCTTTGTGTCTTGCTCAAATAACCTGCTGCTCTCACTCAATAGGACACGGCTTGGATCGAATGGAATTGTCATTGGATTTTCCATTAATTCCACCGTTATTCTATATGATATCACTTGGAAAACATCTTTTCTCTAGAAGCAAGGAGGTTTGTTTATTACTTAATTTGCTTGTAAAGTATTTTTCTTTAATATAACTTAATACATAAGCTTATACTAACATATTACTAATAATAATAAAAACACATAAACTTACATACATAGTGCACAAAATAATGAAACAGTTATTGAAGTGAAACCGGAATTCTATTTTTAAAATTAAAATTTCGTAATGAGAATTTATGAAATATTATTATTTTATATTTTATGCAAAATAATTTATTTAAATCTCAAATGACGAATTAAAATGCCAAGTGTTTTAATTATCGAAGAAATAAATTTAAAAAATTAAATTTATTATTTGTATTAATTTTCGAAAATTTTAATGACAATTAAATTCCTAACATATCTTCCTTTTTCCCTCCCTCTAAGTTTCGGAAATCTAAAGTTTTAGATTTGTATATATGAACAAGAGTTAAAAATAAGTTTGCCAAAAAAGTTTCACTTCTGACATGTGTACGCACGCACTTTTTTTTATAATAGAAGGAAATGCTTGCTTGTGTGAGACTGATGTCTGTTAAAGGTAAAGAGTACCTGCGTTACAGGCCATCAGGCCCCCACCACTTCGTAGCGCCAGTCTTAAAACGGAGGAAATTTATGCTTAATAAACTTAAATATTTTTATTATATATGCATAAGAGGTTGCAATATTAACTTAAATAATTATATATAAGGAAACTACATGAAAATGATTATTAACTTGTTACATCAAACAGTTATAACTTTATATAAAATTAATCAAGTATGACTTTGTATCAAGACCTCAATAGCTAAGGTTTGGAACGCCTCTGATTGAATTATGTACTTCATTTTGTGACGTCGTCGTCTACCTTTGCAGTTTATTAAGTATTATTTTTTCATTACTCCACAGGTTTTAATCTTGGTTGCGGTGACTACCTCTCCCTTCCATTCTTACTTTTCTAATTCGTGGTATTTGTTCATTTTCATAAGTTAACGGTTCCAGATACAAGAGCGGTTTAAAACGTTGCTCTCCACATCACCATTTAATTATTTATTGTATATAGGATATTAAAATAGAGTTAAATTAAAGAAATATAAAAATACTTTACCGGAATAACGACTTTCACGGGAATACTGTGATTATATGACGACAATTTGTCATTTAACGAGTGAGTATATGTATATATTCCCTTTTCCGGATTATTCACAAATTTCGATTTCCCATCCGTTAATTCGGCTGTCACTTTAAGATCTACAAAATTACTTAATTTTTAATCACAATTAAAATTATTTATTTATACTAAGAATTTTCTAAATTTATCATTTATCATGGTATTAAATGATCGCCGTCTAAGCTCATTTCCTTCGCCTTTTTAAGTACCCATATCACACATGTATAATTTCTATATCATATTTCTATAAGTATCTGACTGTCCATTCTTGTAACATATATGTTTGAGAGCAAAATTAAAATTAATAATCGATAATTTTCTTATTAAGGAAAAAATGGAACGCGGAAAGCATCCCCAACACGCACTTGATTTACTTGTCTTTGGGAATCTTTGGGGAATTTTATATCAGTAAATTCAAAATATCAATTAGGTAGATTGTATTAGCTTGATCTATTTACCTTTAATGGGTAAAAGTCATTTTAGTGACCCAAATTACTGACAAACTATACATAAATAGCACAGAACATTTTAAAAAGTACTTACCACCTGTAACATTTTTCGCCTTTTTTGGATAAATAACTGATAAAATCACTTTAAACGTTATATTCTCATCGATCTTGTTACTTTTAAACTAAAACAAGCAGTATAAATTTTAGTTACAAATTGAAATCCCATAATTCACTATTTACTACATAAGATATTAGGTTGAGTTTTGGTTGTGATAAATAAACTACCATCAACATTAAAAATAATAGTAACTTCACTTTTAATAGTAACATTATTATCCAACTATTTTGAAGGACGTTGAGGTCATCTTTTCAATACCAAAACAAATGAAGCTATTCATTAGCGTTATCACTAAACGGATGGATTAGATATTCAAAATTGGCACCGTAATATTTTTAGATAATCTACGTCTAGCAGCAATAACGACTTAGAAATAGGACTTAGTAGCCGGGGTGATTTATCTGAATTATATAAATCTGGAGAATCATGGCATGAGTATCCGAGATGGATGGAAAACGGGATTTACTTCTGTTTCAATAATTCTATATAGGAAAATGGAAGAAGATATGCACTAAGTGTTGCATAAGATACACGGAATTTTGTGTAAGTCGTTGGTTACTAAGTCGCCTTGAAAAATAATTACTAACCTGTAAAAGAGGGAACTCCGTTCTTAGATTTACAGTAACTGATGCAAAGGATCTTAATACTAATATCTTATCACTCTCTGGTGCACCAATGGCTAGACCTGAAAATATAATACAAATAAAATACGAAATATAAGAAGTAAAAATGAGAAATAATAAAAACCAATACCTAACAATACTAATGTATTTTAAAAGGTTTTCCTTAAGCACACATCGGACGCGGCCAGAGATAAGTTAAATAAGTAATTTGTCATAGACTAAAGAGATTTCGCGCCAACTTATACTTCGTGAAATCGAACATTGACGTGACCAATGAATTTGACATTCGAACATTGAACATCTTTAAGCTCCTAATTCAAATACGATAGGAGATTAAATAATAGGAAAAAACAAAAGCTATAAAAACTAATACTTTATAATCAAGCATGAAATAAAGAATTTAAGAAAGCTGCCAGTGCCAACCTCACAGAAATTAAAAAAAATCAACTAAGGCTACACACCATTGCTCCCATTATCATCATAATCCCATAATGTGGCTAGACTCAGCCCAAAAGTCTGGAAACCTTCTGGCTTAATTTTCATCATGTATTTTCCGGGTTCGCTGTCTAAAGCTTTGCCGGTGTAAATGTACACAGCCCCGTCGTCCTCATATGGTGCTGCTATTGCAACTTCTAAGTGACAAAAATATTGTATCAATTATTTACTAAGAATGTGACTTGTATAGAAGAAATATGAGTTTAGATCTCAATTTAAGACAGAATTTCGAAGAAATCTTATGGAAATATTCAATAAAATAAATCAGTGGGGCTACAACCTTTTTAGGTCTGGGCCTCAGATTTATGTATCTGATTCATAATCAATTGTCAATCTAATAGGCATGTAGGTGATCAGCCTCCTGTGCCTGACACATGCCGTCGACTTTTTGAGTCTAAGACAAACCAGTTTCCTCACGCTGTTTTCCTTTACAGTTTGAGCGAATGTTAAATGCACACACAGAAAGAAAGTCCATAGGTGCCCAGCCGGGGATCGAACACGGCAGGAATTATTCAATAGTTATAAATAAATAGCAATAAAATAACTTTAATCGCTGATATAAAATGATTGGTACCATCTTTGCCGTCCCCGTCCATATCACCAATATTAACAATCGTTAAACCAAAACGCCCACCGGGAGTTTTGGCTTTTATAATCTTCTTAAAGGTAAGCATCTGAAAATTACAAAACTTACGCTACATTTAAATGTATTTGAGCTTTAACCACCATTGTTATAAAAAATAATAGATATTTCATACATAATCTTTTGCATTTTGTAAATATATAAAAATCTACATTTCTTAGCAGTCCTTCTTGCTTAGTTAAGCTTGATAATATAATGTATGTATGATGACAATAATATATGTAGAAACGCTTGTTACGTAACCTGTTTTATATATGTATGCTTAAGGTAACGAATTGTAAATCAATTTGTACGAATAACAATACAATTTTAATAATAATCTTTGAATTTAAGTCGTAATAAAAAATAGCGATAAATTGCGTTCGCGCATATAAACCCAAAAAAGCCTAATAATATAGATTTTTTGAGATACTTTTCAACGCGCACCACTACTATGTTGAACCAGTTGTTTGTCCAGCTATTTCCAAATCAATTCGACTACAGCCAAAACCAATAATCAATCCAATTTTAGCTGTCATAGACTGACAATTCAATCCATTTCTAAAGAAAAGCATGCCAATATTAAATCCATGGACTGAGATACCAATCTAATAATTCAACCAATAATTCAGAGGGCGGATAAGAGATTGAAGATTGCCCTCTGTATGAAAATGAATGTTTACTCATGCCAACAACCTATCTGTCCATTTTGACAGTTGCTTCGATTGGCCAAATCAATCTCGGATTGCTATCGGTGAAACTCGTATGATTTGGGTTTGGGATTGCGACCTAACTTAATATTCATTGGGAAAATTTATTCATCTTCGTCATCTTCCAGTTCTAGTGATAGTGATTTGGAAGTTTAAATGCAATTATCCGATTGGGATAGTAATTCTGAAGCTGGAAGAAGACAACGTACTTCTGTGCGAAGACATAAAAGACAAGAATTAATGATGATGAACCAGCTAATGATATTGATCAAAGCGCAGTTGACAACGTGGGAAATGCAAGTGGGCGAAGTAATCTTATAAGTGATTATTTTGCTTTATTACTATAATATTTTATAAATTACAACATTTTTGAGATAAATTAAATAAAAATTCAATACTTTTATTCAAATAAAAATACAAATTTTTAATACAATACATCCTTGCTCCAGGCACAAAATCTATTATTTTTCTAATTTATTTAACAATATATTTTTTTCTATGGCCCATAATTCTCTTTTATACTCTCTTGCTTCCTCTTCAAATGCCCATTGCTTTCTCTTATTTAGAAGCTCTTCCTTTCAATTGACTTTCAATTCCTTCGACAGACAACAATATCATGTCTTTGACTTTTTCCTCGATAGGGGTAAGAGGAGTAGCAGCACTAGGGCCACCTCCTGTACGATATGTTTCAGCATGTATCAAGAGAGACTTTTTCTTGTGCCCTCTTTAAGCTTTAGCACTGTTTCCCCACTTGTGCTATTAAACAGCGCCTCCAGCGTCTTCTAGCACTGCTCTTTCTCCTGCCAGGTGACTGAGTCACTCTTTTTATTTTCTAATATATTTTTATGGTCAGCAACAAGCGAAGTTAGAAGGTCAACTTCTTCCCGGCTGAAATTGACGCTTCTTTCACGTTTTTGCGTAGACATTTTTAAGTTAAAGAACCAACCTCGAATCACAAAAACAACATACACAAACTACTCAGAGAAAATTTATATTTGAAAGGTCAAGCCGAAGGCGCCGAACTAAAATATATAATAAAATACTCAATAACCTAACAAACAAAAATACCATATGAAAATGACAGCCCGTTTCGTTACAAGTAATATTAAATGACCAACAAAAAGGTTAAGGTTCTATGTTTTTCTATAGAATTTTGTAACTTTATTTGTTCGTAACAAAAAAACAAACAAAAACGTTGCATAGCTATTTGCTACTTTATCCATACATTGTGAAACAGACCCTAAGTCTTACTTATTTTATTTCGTTCCAAAAACAGCACACTTTTGGTATGCTTGAACACAATATATTGCATTGAAAGAAACGCGGTCGAGAGGATAGGATCACGAAAAGATTGCTGTCAATCTTTTGTCAAATAAACAATCGGATAGCAGAAATGTTTATTGGCATGCAGATTGGAGATCGGTCTTTAGATATGAATCAGTCCAAGATTGGTTATAATCATAGATTGAGGATACATTATTAATTTTGGCCTTAGGGTCCTTCAAAAGAGTAGCGTAACATCTCTTAAAAGACTTCTAACGCAGTTGCGAGCCTGCTGGCAGTGTTATTACTTATAACATATAGGTATGTCGTCATAGTCGTAGAATATTGACGGATCTGACAAATAGTAAGCTTTACAGGGCAGCCATTTCAAAATAATATAATCGTGTTAGTTTTTTTATCATAACTTTTTAATTTATATTCTGTAATTCTGAAAATTGGCATACAGGCAAACAAAAGGGTTTGTTTTGAAACAAAATAAAAATAATAACTAGAAAAATCACGTTTCTATAAGCGTACCTATCAAATCCGTCACTTTACCGACTGATTAATTTGAAATTTAAAACACATGGATGTAGCCGTAATATTTAGTTAATGTAGTATCCAAATATGATAAAAAGTGGATGTTGGATTTTTTTCAAAACCGACATTGTTCTACGATCATGATGATGTGTTATGTTCCCTGTTCGAATGTAAACGTAAACTAAACAACATTAATAAGCTCTTTGTTAATTATTATTATTGAATCGTTGAATTTAATTTAATAAAGCAGCCGTTACGACTACTTTCTTAATAATATGTAAGTAATAAAGTTCGCTTACTGTAGGAGAAGTGTCAGAATTCGGTTTAAATACATATACAGCGCCAGTGTCACTTTCATAGGCCGATCTCGCATACAACGGAGCACCAATTAACAGAGAATCATAATCAGCCGACAACCGAACAGCGCATAGGCAACCTCCAAATAAAGTACCAATTTCTTCGTGTATTAAGGTGTTTATGTGGGCATATTTTGAGTTAAAAAAGTAAACCTAAAATTAGTAAATGCAAATTATAAAATGGTCTTATTACTAGATGGCAGTAGGAGTATTACATAAAAAAAAACAATGGCGCTACGACCTTTTTTTTTAGGTCTGGGCCTCAGATTTCTGTATCTGTTTCATGATCAATGGTTAATGTAATAGGCAAGTAGGTGATCAGCTTTCTGTGCCTGACGCACGCCGTCGACTTTTTGGGTCTAAGGCAAGCCGGTTTCCTCACGATGTTTTCCTTCACCGTTCGAGCGAATGTTAAATGTGCACTTAGAAAGAAATTCCATTGGTGCACAGCCGGGGATCGAACCTACGACCTCAGGGATGAGGGTCGCATGCTGAAGCCACTAGGCCAACACTGCTCAGGAGTATTACATATATCAATAAATAATTTTGGCGTCCCATCATCCCACAATTGGACATAGTACAGCCTTCTGCGTCTGTTTTATTGAATTTCTTTTTATTAGAATAAACTAAGACGAGGACCTAGATTACAAAGACGAGACGTAAATCCATGTTTTTGTAACAAGTTTTACCGTACTGAATTCCTATATAAAATATACAAAAGTATATTAAAGCCCACCTTTAACTGTTAATAAATCAGTCAATAGTTAAGTCTGGAAGATACTAAAGTAATATACGATGATTGTTATACTGTTTTTTAAAGTTTATTTTAATATTCTAAAATATATTTTTAAACCTTACCTTTGCAAATCCCACATCGCCATAAGTGGTGCTTACAGCGTATTCCACCGATTTATCACCAAAAAAATTACCATAAGTTATACTGTAACCTAAAACAATATGGCAAGTATTTATAGATTGATTGTTTGGTTAATTTTTTGTTATATCTTCGTGTTTTTGATGATTGCTTTTCACATTTAAAAAAATGTAGAAAAACGACTATATTGAGCGTGGTCAATAATAAAGATTAGGATTTTTCGGATTAAGTTTGAACTTTATTTACATTTTAAAGTACTAGCCTAGACTTTACAGATTTAAACAAATAATCCTACAATTTACAGATATTTGAATGTTCCAATTTTAAGAGTATTTTTTTAAATGTTTATGCGCCTTCGGGCCGGGCTCTTTATGCCGCCTCGTCACACATATTTTTAGTGTCTACAATCTCGTGGGACAAAAATATTAAGCAGAACGCTAATTAAAAGGCTAATCCCATATCACTTTTTTAATCGTTCCTAATTCAAATTATATTTTTAGTAGTGTAGTCTATAACAGATATAGTCCATTGAAATGTTACATGGGCTGAACATTTGATAGAGGACGCAATTTTATTTATGGGACCTGTAGGGGGGGTCAATACAAGCTTAAACCCAAGTTTGTGGGGTTGGCGCCCTTGTCCCCCGCCCGCTATCTTGGAAAAAGGGGTTTCACCCCTTTTTGGCTATATCTCATAAACTATCTATCGTACAAAAAAATTGTAAAGACATATTTTGAATCAAATCGCTTTGCCTACAATTGTGTCTGTATGACTTTTTATCATAAATCCAAAATTTAAAACGTTATTAGTAAAAAAGTGAAAAAAAATCCTATTTTGATTAAAGTTATTAATTTTAATTTTTCTTTTGATTTCATCAAAAAATTATATCAGAACAATTTTGTAGAAGATCTCTTTCTGAAGATGTTCCTCTATATTTTTTTAAATAAACGAGAGATAAAAGTAAAGTAGACTTATATCAATATAAGCGTGTATCACTATTATGAAGAAATCCTTACGACAAAAAACTCTATTAGTATAAATAACTTACCAAAATTAAATCGTACTGGGTCATTTGGCAGGATATACTTATTAATTAAAATGGGATATTTATTCGGGTTTTTTTTCGCTTGTTCATAAACTATGACTCGTCCTGAAATTGTTTTGTAACCGTAAATAAAATTACCTAAGTACTTATTTTAACTGTAAAACCATGACGTTGATATAATTAATATAGTTTTACCTGTAATTTGAGATGGTCCTCCTATTAGCACGATATCTTCAGGTTCCTTAATTTTTATACTCCACCCAAAGTTGTCCATTGCATTCTCTGTAATTGATAAAAAATCCGTAAAAGGGTGCCCCTTAACAAATCCGAGAGCAGGCTAAAAGTCGGGACAGAATGCAAACTTTATTTAAGTTTTCAATTTGCGTGTTGTTCCCACGAGAATGTAAGAGCGTGCTCCGATTTCACCCTGCTCCTGCTGATAGAGGACAAATCTTTGTTTTTAATTTATTTTATTATTATTTATTACTTAAGATGTCATGTGGAATATGGTGTAATGGTTGCAGCTCCTTACAAACGTTGTGTAAAACAAAAAACTTGGCGATTAGAAAGAGTGGCGGAGATGTTATTGCCAGTTCTTCTCTTCCGTTTTACGCCCTTGATTTGAGAACTGGCACTAAATGTAAAATTATTTTTTGACTTCATAAGTGTATATTGTGTTACCTACATGAATAAATGATTTTTGACTTTTGAATTACAAACTATTCAAAATTCATTATTCTTATTTTTTGTCTGTCAGGAGAGGTGGGTCAATTTAAATTGAGTGCTAACCGTCGCGTATCGACGCCTAGTGTATTTGGGGTGTGTTGCCGGCATAACGGTGAGGCTCTAGACATAACTTTCCCCCGTTCTATTATTTTGGAGGTATTTTGAAACTTTTACCTTTATAATTAAATGATATATAATTGCACCTACCTACTATGGCAGTTGCATTGCGCTGTCTGTCTTCATTCCCCATTGGCATTAATAATTTTAAAGAAGAATTATTACCTTCTATGCCACAAACACCATAATTAACAAACTTTTTATCTGAAAAGACAGGAGAAACATCGTTTAAATTATTATTTTTCAATCAACAAAAGTAGGAGTTTTTTTGGATGTGTTGAAACATGAACTTCGACCGTAAACTAATCTGAATGATCGAAAGTGAAATCTTTCGCCTTTATAGTAAATTAAAACTAATAATTAATTACGTTTTGTGTGTTTCGGGACTCCAAAACACATAAAAAATTGTAAATTGTCATAACCGACTGGTTTTATCATTTAAAGCATCTTATATAGGCTATCAATAATATATATTAATAATAAATAAATAAATCGTTTATTTGCAAAGAAAGTGGTACATTTAGATCGATTAATTATAAAAATCCGCACAATCAGCCATATAAAAATAGGGATGCAAATGTCATATTATTATGTCATAATAATTATATTATTAACATTAACATAATATCATAGTAATAAGTAAAGTTATTTATTATTGTTGTCAATGTTGTGGTCTAAACACTTGCCCACGCTATAAAGGGACCTTGCCATTAAAAATGTAATCACCTTCCCCTTAAAAGCATTACACGGCAATGAACTATAACTTCTAGAAAGGTGATTAAATAGTTTGATAAGTCACGGCGTAACAATTTTTTGAATACATTGTTGATCAACATGAAGGCACCACAGCCGTGTTGAATCGCTCGGTATATACAGGCAAGTTTCTTTAAATGATTTGAACAATTTTGGAATATTACAAACAAGTATACAATTTTTTCTTCGAACTTCGAAAATAAATTGATTTGCTATTTTAAAAGAGTACCGAGAGTTTTTTACGCCGGCTTTTTCTACGGCCTACACCCTCTGTCTTCTTTGCCGATGAGTGGGGATGCCTACAAATTCAAATTTAATGACGTGGAAGTGATACATGTATCTTATGGTTATAATAAACATATTTTTTTTAAATAATAGACCTTCTTTAAACTCGAATCGTAATATTTAAATTGCGAACGTCAAATCGATCGTCCCAGAGAATAGAACAGCAATATACAGAATAAAGGATTATATGAATTAAACTTCCGACAGTGTAACTATGGTTATTTGGTAAAAAGAATGGTAATCGCACCATATACCATAAACCTTTACTCGATGTATTACATTATATACACACTATAATAATATGGATTTATATTCTGGGCTCGTATATCGTAATGATTGCTTTGTTAAAATTTAACATATACGTGTCCACTTAAGGTCCCTTGCCTTAGACCAAAAAAGTCGAAAGTGTGTTAGGCACAGGAGGCTGATCACCAACATGCCTATTAGATTGACAAATGATGGTGAAACAGATTCAGAAATCGGAGGTCCAAACCTTTAAAGGTTGTAGCGCCATTGATTTATTTGAAATGTTACGTTATCAAAGAAATTGTTTTAGCTCTTTGTTAATGACATCAAAGTACCTTAGTCAATTAATATAACTTCTGGTAACTGTTTTGTTTTGTTGACAATTTAAAAATATTTACAATATTGAGCCAGATCCAGAGCCAGCCTTGCGATTCTGTAACTCACTTTTCGAACTCACACAGCGGTTTTCGCATCGGCGGTCGCTCTCAAATCAGTCGTGATGCAGTCATTTTATGATCTTCATGACTATTCTGATAGCACCGCCGATGCGAAAACCGCTGTGTGAGTTCAAAAAGTGAGTTACAGAATCGCAAGGCAGATTAAAGATCTTGGTTACAAGGTTGGTTTTGCGATCCACTTTTAATTTTTAAATAAAACTAAAACCACTTACCATTTTTGTTGCTTCTGTTTATAGGTTCATCTTGAGTGTAACGTGGAGCACAAGTCTATAATTAAAAAAGAAAGAAAGGAATAAATGCAACGGCCATAAGCACTCATTAACCTGCAGCTGAGTTTCATCATCGGACGTCGAGGCAGAATACGAAATTCCACCCGTATCACCTCGACATCCGCCGTTCCACAACTGAGCGTTTTTCAAGGCAATTTTTGCCGCGCACCACCACTTTATGGAACCAGCTGCCCACTGAAGTGTTTCCGAACCAATTCAGAGGGCAGAGAGTGTCCATGGGCGGCGGTATCACTTAACATCAGGTGAGCCTCCTGTCCGTTTGCCCCCTGTTCTATTAAAAAAAAATTGATGAACTATCAGCCTAAAGTGGCATGAGACATGCGACTTTACATCTAAATTAAAATAACTAGCGTGAAAGCTAAATAGACAGGGACTGTTCTCCGTTGTAGACTTATTAATAATTCACTCAAAAATTTCAATTGCGCTATTGACGGCCTTATTAAGCGACTTCGTATAAAATAAAATAACTTATGAGACAGAAAAGAGATATACTCACGACGAAGAAATCATCTGATGCAGCGACAGAGGTGCCGAGCCACCAGCTTTGTGCTCTTCTTTTGTTTCTGTGATAGTGGTTGGTGTCTAAAATATAAATATACATTACATATTCATCTATGTTTAGAGTTTTACAAAAACAGGCCGAATATCAGATGGCGCTAGTATTCACTTTTAGACCAGGGGCAAACGGGCAGGAGGCTCATCTGGTGTTAAGTGATAACTCATGGACACTCAATGCAAAATTTCACCACCTTGATGGCTGGAAGTCTTCCACAGTCTGTTTCACAAGGCACTTTCATTTGTGAAATAGGGAACTGTGGGATCGACTCCCAGTCTTCCGTAAAGATCCGACCTCCAACTATTTAAAGTTAGAGTGTACTCCTCGCACAAAGGCCGGCAACGCATCTACTAAAAATGGGCGTCCCATAGGCTCATTTGCATTTATATTGTATAAAAAAAATAGTGGTGGTGCGAAACTGCCTTTTAAAACGCTCAGTTGTGGAACATTGCTTGTCACTGCTATAACATTAATAATAGCTCATGCTTTAATAGTTCTAAATTTGAAAATAGATTGAGAATCTACGTATTTAGTTCGTGGAGCTGTCATGATAAATACTTACCCAATTCTTTAAACGCAATTTTTTGAGACACATTCCTTTCCGATCCAATTTCAATTGCGTATACCTGCCCTATATCATGTCCTTTTGGTGCACCAGCTATTAGTCTAGAATAAACTTGGTAATATAAATCATTTTCAGTGCTTTGTAAATAGCAAACTTTGTCAAAGTTTGATTTCACAAAGATTGATAAAGAGTTTGAAAATTGAGACAGCTTTGAGAATTATATGAAACAGCATCCAAATGAAAATCCAATGACCGAGTTGTTGTCATCAAGGGAGGCTAGGGTTTCAGGATTTAAGCGATCAGAAATAATCATCAGGGAACCTGTGTGATAAAATGTATTCATGTTGGTTATTTATTTTATATATTGTATTTTCTTTTGGATTTTCTCAGCACAGACGATAATTTTATAACAGTATGTCGAAAATGTATTGGATTTTGACACTAACGCGTCATAATTCGCGCTAGCTTGTCTCTGAAACCTATCATAAGCTCTTAGTTAATTTTTTTTATATAATGTGCATTCATTTGTTTGGTTACCGTTTCTTTGATGTCTCGTACGAAATACTATAACCAAATAATCCATTATTCGCTACTGATTTAGGTGCTTTAATAGTCTTCATTGATGATTCATGGAAGAAGCTGTCCACCATCCATACTTGTAGGAGCAATAAAACTGTGAACAGTAAATTCGGCTACAGAAGATTTTCATTTTGAAGATACGAGGGATTGAAAAATTAGTGATAATACGATACATTGTCCTAGCAAAAATAAATATAAATACTATCAGGCATAGCCCAGATATTAGATAAAATAATAAATAAAATCTTTTATTTGTAAAAAAATGAACTTATTTGTTTGGGTCGTAGCGAAACCTGTTTTGAAAAATGTATAAAAGTTAAGTTAATAAAAGATCGCGCGGTAATAAAAGATTTCTGCTTGAAAAATTTGATTACGGAGTTGGTATAGCAAAACTTGAGAGCAACATTAGGGGTCCTAGGGGAGCGTGTTCCTAGAAGGCTCGCGAGTGCATAGCCGGCCTTTTCATGAATAAGAAATAAGTCAAATTGTTTCGGAAATACTTCAGGGTGGTGCGCGGCAAAAACTCCCATAAAAAACGATCCTTTGTAGAACGACGGACGTCGAGATGATACGGGTGGAATTTCGTATTCTGCCTCGACGTCCGATGATGAAACTCAGCTGCAAGTATTATTCCGAACAACTCTGAACACTCTCCATGGTAAATGCGGTAGAAGATGCAGAGTGACCCCACATCTCTAGTTGCAAGCGGTGGCCCGAAGTTAAGGATGGTCTTGCCTTACTAAGCACACCAAGCTTTCTGTGGTCATTGTTAACCAAGAGTCTAAATACCAGACTCCAGTGTAGGCCGAGACCCGAGAGAGAATCATGGAGCTACTATTACGGCTTTGTACGCAGGACAGAAAATAAAGTTGCGTGAAGAATAAGAATGTTGTTTTGTTTCACCAAGATAACTCCACCGGGCACAAGTCCAGAGTTGCAATTGCTGCCTGTGAAGCCACAAGAAGTGCCCTTCAAATTGATGAAACATTCTCGATATTCAATATCGATATCGAGAACAAGATTTGTTTCAAATGGAATCCTAGGTTTAGTTAAAGATATACAAAGTGTATAATCCTGAGAGACTACGTCGAAAAATAAAATAGCATTTAATAATTATCATACTCAGGATCACTATTTAAGGATTTGTAAAAAAACAAGTTTGGGGAAACACAAATCCCAAAAAACTCCTACAATTATTTAAAAGCTATGAGATGGGTTAGAACCGGAGAAAGAAATGGTTTTCAGACATTAATTTCACGCCTTCTTAGATTTTTATGTTCAATAAACTATAAAAATATATACGTTTATATAAGCTAGAGAGCTTATATAAAGGGTTAAAATTGTATAATTTTAATAAATTACTTACCCCAAAACATGTTTGATATCCAACAATGAAACAAACACTACTTCTAAATATGGCCTTTACATATTGAATGTTCGTTTCTATGATAATTTTCCTGCTTTAATCAATGTTTATAATTAGTTCACAAATCTATGTAGGTATAGTACTAAATCAAATCCCGTATAATGGTCACATTTTTTTTTTTCAAATCTACAACATACTTATTGGTAATGTCCGCCAAACCTAGCTTTGTAGACCAGCTAGGCTAAATGAGACTCTTGAACCTGTGGGTGCGCGTTCAAATCACAGCGTTCTCTATAGCTTTAATTATATATATATATATATATATATATATATATATATATATATAGTTTAAATTAATTTACATAAAAAATAGTCTTCTCATCCCTGAGGTCATAGGTTCGATCCCCGGCTGTGCACCAATGGACTTTCTTTCTGTGTGCGCATTTAAAATTCGCTCGAACGATGAAGGAAAACATCGTGAGGAAACCGGCTTGCCTTAGACCCAAAAAGGCAACGGCATGCGTCAGGAACAGAAGGCTGATCACCTACTTGCCTATTAGATTACCAAATCATCATGAATCAGATACAGAAATCTGAGTCCCAGACCTAAAGGTTGTAGTGCCATTGATGTAAAAAAAATGGTTCGCTATTTTATTGAGTTTATCGCGTTCATACAAGCATATGCGAACGGGGGACTTCATTTCATAATATATAAGAAGTAAGATATATTGATGAAAGATTTGTGAACAAGACACAGGAGAGTGTCAGATAAACTTTAAACCTTGTCTGTAACAATAATACTTTCAACAGTGAGAAGTTCACTTAGTTAATTTTATAATGTGGGAGACTCACGAGTTTTGGTTAAATATTTTGAGGCAAAATTTCCTTCCTCATATTTGAGTTATTAGTAACAAATAAACCCAAACGAATCCATAATAGGTACGTTAAATATAGTTGAATTTGATTTTCAACAGATATTTAAATAACAAGTCCTATTAAACTTAAAAAAAACTCGAAAGTATTAATAACGTATGAAAGATTTCGTCAAAATAGAAATAATGTAGTAAAATATACAGTTTACAAAGTAAAATGTATATTATACCTTTAAGGTATGACAACTTTACTATACTTAATCATAATATTGTATTGACGTATTAAGGATACTTGTTTGCTAGTCCTGCCTTGCGATTCTGTAACTCACTTTTCGAACTCACACAGCGGCGGTCGCTCTGAAATCAGTCGTGAAGCAGTCATTTTATGATTTAGCATTCTGATAAGGTCCCTCCTTGTAGTTTATTGTTTATCAGAATGCCAAATCGTAAAATGACTGCTTTACGACTGATTTGAGCGCGACCGCCGCTGTGAAAACCGCTGTGTGAGTTCGAAAAGTGAGTTACAGAATCGCAGGGCAGCTCCAAAATCAACTGGTGGATAATCTAGTCATATAGTTTTATATTTACATTTATTATACTTTCTTTTTTTGTGAAAGAAATCAACGTTGACGTAACTTACACACTGTTTGACTGTATCTTATTTTTTTTTATAAAGATTAAAGTTAACACTATAGTTGCAATATTTGTAAATATGTGAATATGTGTTTTTTATAATACTATGCGCCTATTTTATTTTAGTATAATAGTTTTTTTTTTATCTAGGCACATGGTCTTCACAGTTTATCATCAAATCAATGTATACAAAATATTGTAAATGAGTACTTTTTTTAAAGAGTAAGTATATTCATATACTTAGTCCATATAGGTAGTTTCTACCTTTTAAAAGGAGCAACTAGAGTAATGTTTTTTTTTATATTTTTAACTTGTAATTTTGACTTTCATGTGTGAATAGTTCTTGGATATGAATTGCTTCAGTATAAAGAGGTAACGGGACTGAATCTCTCGGCTGCATTCCAGACTCGGTGGCGATCGACGGCTGTTTTAATGTAATGTGGGAACAAACCGTGATCCATGTGGTACCAAATTATTTCAGTATAATTAGTATTATTATTATTATCTTATGTAGCCAAGTCCACATCTCAAGGATTGTCATGCTACCTTGTGGCGGAGAACTGGCAGTAAATGTAAAATTAGAAGCATTTCTTATATATTTCTTTTTTTGACGTTCATTGTATATTGTGTTATCTATATGAATAAATGATTTTGAATTTAAAATTTTTGAATTTTGTTAAGAGGCCTAATTTAAATAAATGACTCTGACTTTGACGAATTTATTAAAAAATTTGGGCCATCTACTTTAGGGCTGCGACATTCCATCCAATATATTCGTATCTTTAATATCCATAAACAACCAATAAAGGAATTATAGTATGCGATGAAATAATTTGTCGTAAATTTAATATGACTCTGTAGGTTAAGAATATTGTAAAAACTGTAAATTTGTGTGTCAGTGTATAAAATAATTTAATTTGTAGTAATAAAACAACCATTAAACATTTAGTTTACAATTCCATTTAATGTAAAAATATCTTATTCTACTGTTATTGTTACTTAAAATTACGCCCAGATGAACACAAAACTACACTATACGAAACAAAACAATTTTTTATAATAATTATTTATTTAATAAAAAAAAATATTAGCATCTGATAGAAACATAATTTGCTATAAAAATCTTAATTGCGATTTCTTTTTGGCAAACGCGCAGGAGTGTCACCTGACAAGTGAGTGACACTCACAACGCTTGTGGGTTGCTGGCCTTTTAAGAATTGGTACGCTCTTTTCTTTAAAAAACTTAAAAGGAATTGGTTCGGAAATATTTCTGGTTCCACATGGTGGTGGGTGGCGAAAAGTGCCTTAAAAATGCTTAGTTGAACGACGGACATCGAGGTGGTTAGGAATTTCATATTTTGCCTCATGCCTTACGTAATACAATTTGTTTATACGACTATTGACTACATACAATTAAATTATTGTATCATTCTGGAGGTGAATATGTAATTTAAAAAAAATAATCTAATTAATCTTTTTTTCTTTTCCAATAAGAGCCACTTCATCTCGTGATTCCGTTTCTGAACTTTGCAAATTCTGCATCACGAGGTCCTCCGAACAGTCGATGATTTCTAGCTCTGTCTAATAATTGTATAATTAATTTCTTAATAAATAATTAGTAATTTAAAAGTAAAGACCACAGATCATTAAGAGATAAAACATTTAGTTGAGTTAGATTTTTCAGTGAAACAATATTTTTTGCTAAATTATTAAATACCCCTTTTTAGATAGCGTATAACCCATAGCTTCTGAGTATGATGAAATAATTATTGTTTCGATATAGTTGGTTCAGAAGGTGAACTAAACACAAAAATCTCTCTTTAAATTGGCCCCAAAAAAATTTTTGCCTTCAGGTATTTTTAATATAAAAACAATCGTCAAATAACATAATATTGCTCTATAATCTACTGATATTATATGCATAACCAATCAAAACTGAAATAAAGAGACTAAAATTAAACTTAAATTTTATTCGATTTTATCTGTCAAAGCAGTTTTATTTCAATAAAAAAACAATAGAAAGTATTAAGAGTCAACTAATTTTTATCTTAGTGATATACTCACACAATCCTCATTATCTGACGGAATTGCTGACTCACGTCTTTGATCAGATATTCCAGGTTCTGAGGGAGCAGGTCTTCTCTGTAACATAAACATTTTTGAGACAATGTGCAGTGCTGGCTAAAACGTAGGTACTTTTAATCCTAAGATCATGCGTTCAAATCCTGGTTGTGCATCGTCGAAAGTCACCATATAATATAAATAGTATATATAATATATATTAAAGCTTGCTGATATAAATGGTTGATCACTTACTTGTCTATAAAATAATCTAAGAAATACATGTCTATCTTACGCATCTAAGCAAATAGCGCCACTAGTTTATAATATAGACACCCTCAGATTCACCTTCACCAGATTTTAAATTCCTTTGGGGCGTATTATGTATAAACATTTTGTCATTTTGTATCTCTTAAGTTACTAGTGCATAACTGGGTGGCAAGCATGGTCAACTTAGACGCACATCAAAAGTCATAGCGCATCTAAATACTAACTGAATATTACTTCTATTTAATACTTTTTAGTGAATTTCGGAATTAAAAGGAAAACATGACTCACAATTGTACTCCTCAATCGCTCTAGTTTCTTCTTTTCCTCCCTCTTGAAGAAACCCATCTGCAATCGGTACAAAATATTGTCTAAAACATATGTTACTTATTCATAAAAAAATGTTTTTAATAATATTATTGACTCATTATTTTTTTGTTGTTTATACTCTTTTTGTTTTGTGAGGTATAATATTTTCTTGAATGTACGTATAGAGCAGTTTGCTCGCTCTCGTCCCTGGAACGGTGAAGGAAAGCATCGTGAGGAAACCGGCTTGCCATAGACCCAAAAAATCGACGGCGTGTGTCAGTTACAGGAGACTGACCTCCTACTTGCCTATTATATTGACAAATGATCATGAAACAGATACAGAATTCTGAGGCCCAGACCTAAAAATGTTACAGCCTTACTGATTTATTTTTTTATGTATAAAGTAAAATAATACAAAACAGATTACTCTGATTACATAAGGATATAATTTTGTACCGACCCTGTATAATCCGTAAATCAGCAGTGCTAAAATGATTGCCGCAGCGACGCACGCGACGATTATTATTGAAGTTTGATTCTGGGCAAATGTTTTATCTTTACGGTATGATAGTGTTGTTGTCAATCTGAAAGACTTAGATCACTTAAAAATTATCCTATTATTATATACAATAAATTATTTTTAATTGTTCATAAAAAAACAATTACCGAGGAATGTAAACATGCTTTTTCACGTTTTTTATTAGGCTGTTCCCCAAAATCACCCAAATTCACGAAAGGCTTATAACCAGAAACGTCGTGGCAAGAAAGTAAAACAAAAGAAGGTAGACGAAACGTTGCGTTCGGTTGTGATTGGGCAAACGGGCTTTACGTCATGACGTGTGTTCACGCGTTCAACGAAATCGTTTAGTCGTTTTACATTCTCAGAGATTTGGTGCAGTGTATTATTGTATAAAACAATGTAATCTGTAATCTGGTCACCACATTTCAAAATGCACATAAATACCATTGAAACTGTTCAAAAACCTTTACTTAGAAAACTTTGCAATCCTATACTTGCGTGGTCTATTGCAAACGTACGAGGCTCGTTAAGACTATTTCGAGTTAGATACTCTAAAACTCCGACGTGACTTCATTGATCTAGTTTATTTGTATAAAATATTTAACTTTCATACTCATACTGACCTTGCTAAATATTCCTTTCTTTGTAATCCTGGAGTTACTATATTTAAAAGTGTTATATACGTACCTACGGTTCGCTTATCTGCTACTTTTAATGGTCCAGTGAATAGGCGGCTATCTCGCTCTTACAATTTAATTACTAACATTAATTAAAATATTGATATATTCCACAACTAACTACTTACCACAGTTTTGTGAAATACGCTCTTAATGAGATTTAAGTTTCTATTTAATTTTAGTTTTTTTACGATTTGCTTATTTTGTTTTCTTTACAAGATTGATATTTTCATGTTTTAATAAATGTGTAAAATTTGTGACGTCATATTTTCTTGTATCTTTTAAGCACAGATGTTGTTTAAGACATAAATAAATAAATAATAAGTTAGTGTTTACTAATTGTACGTGTGTGTATTAGGCTGTAAATTTTAAAATATGACATATGTTACAGAGTTTTCCACAATTTTTCGGAAAATATCTAAAAGTACATTTCCAAAATATACTGTATTATGAAAAATTTTTTAGTAGGTACGATTTTATTTACTCACATCTTCTCTTTAGATTCCAATCGATTGCTTACTGTCAGTATCAGCGTTGTCATTGTTTTCAGTTTGTCAATGCTCAACTGTTCCACTGAAATCGTGTAATTAAAGTGAAAAAGTCCAAGACTAAATTTATTATTCATACTTATTTCATGGCAATGGCAAAATATAAGTTTTGAATATCTAAATCACTTCAACTTCGATGACAAGACAATGACCGGTCAAACATATATCTGGGTTTCACCCACATTGATTTTAGTGTTAGGCCTATAGCCATTGTCAATAAAAAGACGTCAAGAAGAATTGGAACAAATATTTCCTTACATTAGCGCGTAGTATCGTATATAATTTATTATAATTGCCTTGCTCGGATGCATGTTGTATCCCGGCTGAGGCCGAAAAAAATATGTACTAATTATAAATTAATTGCTATGTGCAGATCTTAGAGGTCATGCCCTTGAGTCTGGACCGAACTTTAACCGTTTTTAAATACTCTTTAAATAAAAATCATTTCACTCCGATTTGTTTTTGTAATTTTGTTTTTCACATGTTGGAAGAAGATTACGAGTAATATATGGTTTTAAGGAAAGTCCTATCAACTGTGTATCCTGACACAATAGCTAGATCCGCCCTTGGATTAACCCATAAGTTAACAAATATTGGGGTAAGTACCTGTTTCAGTTTTTAATAACTGAGTCGTCGTACCTATCCGTACCACTGTGTTCGGTTTTATATCAAAATTGCAATGATATGTGAAGTTCTGCAATAGAGAACATTCCTGGAAGTCTGATGAAAACACCTGTAATCACAATTATTTAGGTTTTAATAATTTTCAGGGACAAGCTGCAAACGACAAACACTTAACCGCCAACACCTGCAACTTACATACCTTGCCTGTGTGGCCTTGAATGGTTTAGTATAAAGCCACTCAGCTGTATGATCTTTACTCGAATCTGGTCGGTTCGAAATACATTAAGAGCGCGCATAAGGCTAGCCCTCACTAGTGACTAGTGAAACGAAGTTCGCGTGAAATGTGACGGACGATACAGTGTTTCGCAAAAAATTCAGTAAATTCCAAATGTCTTTAATTTAAATAACTCGTATAATATACAATATTTAATAAAATCTATTAACAGCCCTCAGCCAAACTAATGTGTATTTTTTAAATTAGAGTCAACCATTGAAATTATTGTGTAGAATCAATACGTCATGATCGTAGAACAATGTCGGATTTGAAAAAAATACAAAATCAAGTTTTTATCATATTTGGATACTACATTGACTAAATATTACAGCTACACTAAAAAAATCCATGTGTTTTAAATTTCAAATTAATCAGTCGGTAAAGTGACGGATTTGATAGAAGCATGAGATTTTTCTAGAAAAATGTGTAATTTAATGTTATAATTTTTTTTTGCTTGTATGCCAATTTTTTATAATAACAGAATATGAATTAAAATAGTTATGACAAAAACTTACATGATTATATTATTTTGAAATGGCTGCCCTGTAAAGTTTACTATTTGTTAGATCCGTCACTATTCTAAGACTATGACTTATTTATACATATTTATTGTTTTAAAGAGTTTACACTGTATATATATATTTTTTTGTAAGCTGTAGGAATACGAAATAAGTAAATAAATATACCTACCTTAAAATTTTCTATAAAGCTGTGGCCAGTAGCTACAAGTTCAGCCTTTACGCCTTTCCATAGCACTGATCTCTCATTAGTAACCTATAAATGTTCATATTATTTCTAACATAATAGATTCAGAGTCGAGACAAATGAGGTTATATGGAGTGTACCCATTTTACCCAGTAATGTATCCAACTTTGTTTGTCTTGGGTATGGGTAGGATACAACAAGTTAGAGGTAAGGTGGGACTTTACTATTACATTATATTTTTTTAAGGTCCTTAGAGGTAAAATATTTAATGCGGAAATGTTGGAGAGATTGGGGCTGCGTGTGCCAAATAACCACACTTGTCGTGGTAAGCGGTCGCATTTGCTGGCAGAGAAACACCATTTACGCGTGTTTTGCGCACCCTAAACACTATTGCTTGTGAGACGGATATATTTAGTTGCACACTAGCTGCATTATCGATTAACTGCATTATTGAAGTGAAACTTCTTTATCGAGGTTGGAAAAATATTTAGTGTAACATTTTTTCGTTACGCGTCACATTTTTCGGTTACGCGCCATGTTGCTTTTTGAAGTCAAACTTCTTTATCGGCGTTGGAATGAAACTTCTTTATCGACGTATGGGAGAAATTTTGTAGCAAATCGTCACGTTTTTCAATGATAGTAATAATTTTATTACAATTAATGAAATTCTATAATAATCTTCGTAGTAATAAGGTAAAATGAAATATTTGTATTCATGTCTATGATAATAAAAGCCTTTTGTTAAACTTTATCTAATTTAACGAATTTCTGTAAAGTTGCATATAGTAGATCATTTTTCGAAAAATAAGATCATAAAGAAGTTTCACTTCTTACGTGTGTACTAGGTGTACACGCATAATTTTTTATTTATAATTAGTTATAAGTTTAGGTTTTAAGGTTTTACTTGTTTTATTTATATTATGTTTTTTGTTTGGATTTCTATTGTATTAGTATTAGGTAACTGTAAAAATAGTAAATAAATAAATAAATGACAAATGACGTGACAAAGACTTAGCGCTAAGTGTGACTCCTGTCAAAAATGACAAATATACACGGATGTCATATTTAGCGTCAAATCTCTACTCTAAGTAGTTCTTACCGTAAACAATACGTGGATATTAATCGTCGTGTTCTCATTGTTCAGCTTACTCTCTGTTATAATTTCATCGCGAGTCGATCTAGAACGAATAGATTTTTAAATTAAAAATCTCCAGTTACCGAGTCGCACATGACATCACTGTAAATGCATGATCATATTCTTTGTCAACATGTATCTCGCCTTCTAGGCCTTTATACATACATATATACTAGTTTTAACGATGTATGGTAATTATTGTAAAGTGTTTTGATTTCTAAAATGCACCTAATTTTTTTTCTAAAATAAAATATTGTTTTTTTTTGTATATTATATAAATATTGATTTATTAAATAAAAATACACATTTTTATTATCGCAATACAGTGAGAAAATGCTGCCAGCGTAAAAGGTACACTTTTATAAGGGTCGAACTTTTTAAATTTGTTTTTATTAATTTTTAATTAATTTTATTATTATTATGTAGGTTACGAAAATTGTAAATACTGTATATTTGATTGTTATGATTAGGTTTTTTTTTAAATATTTACTGTAAAGGCACTGTCTACCAACGGCAGGTTATTGCGTTTGTTTTATAATAAAAATTGTTCATAGTACAATTCTGTTTTCTACATAAACAATTCTTAACCATATCCTATCCTGCTCAATAGTGGCTTATGTAATTCACGTATTTTATAATTCTTTTGTATTGCATTTTGAATTGTAATTCATGAACATAAATAGCATTTTGTTAGTATTTTTTTTCTATCCTTACCAGGGTTGCCTGGAAGAGTACGCTTATAAGTCACAAGGCCGCCTGTTGTATCCCTAATAATTTATGTATCTTGTTGTTATTTGTAATTATAAAATAAAAATTCGCCAGGTAAAATTAAACGTTAATCTACTTTATAAAATCATTAAGGACTTTTTGTATGGTTGAATTTACTTACCCACTTACAACAATATCGTTCGGATTCAATATATAAGGTATAACTTTTGTTTCCGTCTCATACTCGGATTTAACCCTTGACATTGGAGAGTCGTTGTATAAAATGACCTCCACCACCAGCTTCTCGTCCGTACTAGTTGGTCTTTTCATATTCAGTCGTATTTTGATGGGTATCTGGTGAAATCGTGACCACTTTTACCATATAAACAATAATATAAGACGAAATATTGTATTAGCCCATCAATTACCGTTTAGAGGATTGAAGTATTTGTTTTCAAACTAAATCCTCGAGTGGATCCTCGACCAGTCGAACCACGCACGGCCCATAGACCCCAGTTTTTTTTATAGAATAGGGGGCCAACCTTTTGTTAAGTGATACCGCCGCCCATGGACACTCTCAATGTAAGAGGGCTCGCGAATGCGTTTCCGGCCTTTTAAGAATAGGCACGCTCGATTTGAACAACCCTAAGTTGAATGGGTTCAGAAATACTTCAGTGGGCAGCTGGTTCCACATAGTGGTGGTGCGTGGCAAAAGATATGGACGTTGAGGTGATACGGATGGAGTTACATAATCTACTTTGACGTCCGATGATGATGTGAAAAAAGTGTCTGATGACGTCATTGTAGTAATTATAGGTGTTTAAACTGGTAACTCAGAGAGTACATATAAAGCTATTAAATCTAAATTTAAAACTAAATGTGTGCGGCTTTTTACACACATTAGTTTTCAGGATTTAATAGAAAAAGACAAAGGCTGGGTTGACGTAGTCTTAAAACCATTATTGTGTTTATTATTAGGGAAATTTTTAATTTTATATTTAATATTTTTAATTTTCTGGACTACATATTTTACATGGATTGGAGTTAAATTTGTGTTATGATTAATTCCATAAATAGTAACCACAGTAACAAAGTACTAACCCTTTGCTGATCGAACTCTAATCAATAAAAGTTCTCAACGTCCCGTTGCACAACAATTACTTACGATAGTTAACTTATGGAAATTTGAAGCAAGTTCTACTATATAAGAAGTGTCTCACCAGTTCATGTCTCTCGATCTTTAAGTTACACCTGTACCACAAATCCTCTGGTTGATCACATTCGAGTAAGGCGACCTGCAATTTTTTGTATGGGATAAATATAAGTATGATATCTAACTTAGGGAGCGTTCAAGTATTACGTAACTTATTTTGGTAGGGGGGGGTCCTTTTGTAAAACGTTACGATGCGGGGCGGGGATTAAATTACGCGTTATTGTTAATATTCCTTTCGACTTACACCACATAATAGTAACCAAAGAGTCACTAGGTGGTCAAAAAACGTTTTACTATACTTGGGTACAGTACTGTACTTGGGTACTGAAAAACGTTACGGCGAGTTACATGGGGGGGGGGGTCAATAATCTGCAAAAATTGCGTTACGTAATACTTGAACGCTCCCTTAATGCATAATGTATTATTAATTATCTACAAAAGTAAATGGGACTAAGTCTGCGATTGCATCTGTTTCTCTGATCAGTCTTATTTTTTATCCTAAATATCATGTTTCTAACTCATGCCGCAAATTTTTGGATTTAAGACATGTCGGATTTCTCACGATGTTTGTCTTCACCGTAAGAGCTCGGTCCTACTATGTCGTCTGTCGGGATGATTTTTTATTACGATATTTTTATACGACCGCAGCTGGTTGTGCTGGTTGGCTTCTGTACACGATGGACGTCGACGAAGCTTTTGTTGTGATTATTTGTGGAGGAAACGAATGACAGCTAAAAATAGAAGATATTTGGTGCACCCAATTCTGAAGGATAGATTTACTTTGGGAATATTTCTACATTCAACGAACTATTGTCTGGAATACGACAAATGTGAACAGCGCCCATATGCGATCATATGCGAGCGTTGATCCGACACGTTTATTTTCCGAACGGGAGGGCTGACAAAACACACGATAATTTTTGTCGGAACCGACAGAAAATCGTTGTCGGACAAGTGTGTATAGCTTCATATAAAATGTTCTGCCGCTACGACACACGATAAAAAATCGTCCCGACAGACGACATAGTGGGAACGAGCTCTAAGGGCAATAATTATTGCGCATAATGACCTTTAGTGCACAGATGTTAACGAACACATGACCTCAGGGATATACACATTCCACATTAGACACAAAACGGTCACAGATTAGTCGAATCGACGACGACGTCTTATCCTAATATAATACAGACATGGAGTTTACTTTCATCGAAGAATATTTTTGAATGATATATGATGTGTATTTGTGTGAATTAATAACGATAATTAACACATAAAAAACTTGACGTTTGTTGACGAGTTTAAAAGCATGGTACGTCCGCGTCGTAGGGACTGCTCCGCCGCCATCTTGCCAAGCTTTTGGCGGGTTCTTGAAAATGGTTCTTGAATGTATAGTCACTAATAAATAATCAAAATGGCTTTAGCCTTGTAAAATAGGCTTCTGTGTACGTCTACTTATGACTGTTTTGTCAGACTCTCATGCATCAAATGATTTTGATTAATTAGAACAACGAAACAGATAATTAATCATAGACTTTACTGTTGCATACATTAGTTTTTTATTATTATTTTGGTTATTTTTATTAAATCCTACTTTAGTTTTACTTACAGGTGCTCCTGTGACTTTGATATATGCGCAGGAGACATCCGAGCTATTTCCATCATTTCGCACGTTCACCGTCATCGTCTCCTCTTCAGAGGATCCCAATGTGTATGTATCGTTCCTTAAATTATTTAAACATTGTTTAACTATTGTATATTAAGACAAAAATTAAACATTTTATTCCTATAGCTGGGGAGCCCAAGCGGGGATTTCGGGATTTACTACAGCGTGGCAGATTAATGTACAGGGAGATACCTTGTACCCGGTTAAGTATCTCTACCAAATATGAGCTCCACATATGTGGCCGTCCATCAAGGATAAAGTATCAGATTAGTAAAAAAAATTAACCATCCGACTTTCTCAAGCGCGTCAGGTAAGGTGAGTTAATTACATGCTAAGAAGTGTATATTTCACTAATCTGACAATTTGCAAGTAACGTAAAGAAAGGGGAGGGCTGCAAATTTGTAAAAAGTGGTTGGAGACTAGGTACCGCTGGATCAACAGAGTGGAGGAGTACCTGCTGCAGCTAAATGCCAGCATTTGGCGGGAGGTGGCACACGACAGGGAGCGCTGGAACTCAGAGCCAGCGGAGTGAAGTGAATTGTGTTTAGAAAAACTAAGTTTATTTTTAGAAGATAAGAGGAGTGTTATCAGATAATTTACCTTCCTGACCAATCAAAGGTCGCAGATAGTCGAGGCCTACACACATCGTCGTCGCAGGTGCGTGTAATATCGCGGACTATTTCTGTTTTGCTGTATGAACTTAGTCTTACAATCGAACTGTCGTATACATCTAAAAAATATTTATTATCATTAATTGTTTATACATTTTTTTTAAAAGGATGCAAACGGGCTGGTGGCTCATCTGATGTTAAGTGATATCGCCTCCCATGGACACCCAAATTGCCCGAAAGCAAGTGCATTGCCGGCCTTTAAATTACTACTAAATCACCTTTTGCCCATATTAAAAAACAATGTTATCTAAGGTACAGAGTCGGTCGTATGTCAGATTGGAATTCAACTGCAAAGGTTTTGAACCAAACCGATTTTTGGGTCTATTTAATTGACTTAATTAAAGGGGAATCTCTTATACAGGAGGCTCTATAATATACTAGGTAAACCCCAAACATACGGCGAGTTCGCTAATGACGTTTGACAGTTATACATAACAAACACTAAGGATCTCAGTCCTAGGCAATTGGCTAACTGAGCTATTGAGGTCATCAAGCTATCAAAAGGTACAGAACTTCTTAGGATAAGCGAGAAATGATTCTGGATCGTCATCAGTGGCGGTATATATAAACTTGACAAAATATTGAGACGAAGCTTTATATTTCAGCAACATCCATATTTTAGCCATAGAATGAGCAGAGCCGAGAGAAACTAATCGTGGTTAATAACTCAAAAAGTAAAAGATCGCGCGGACGTTCACCAACCAGATGGTCAAGTGAAAGACGCAGCGTCCTCAAAATCTACACAATGAGAGAGGTGGCAGTAACCGATGGAACCAGACAGTCCCTTCCAGATATTACCTTACTGACCACGGCGTCAGACATCGTCCTAAGAGAATGAGATTAAGCTTTGAGGTCACTCATAGATGTGTACTTACCTTTTATTTCTTTCGATTTCACTTCCGCTTTGAATTTGTATATGTGAGGATCGTGGTCATTCTGAAAACGCACAAATTGACAAGCTCTTATACAACGTGTTAAACCTAATCACACTTATTTTTCTATTTAAAGGATATCAGTGTCAATATGCTATATAAGGATTTTTAAGGAAATATCAAAAAAGGTTAGTTGACATCACAGGAGACCGAAGAGCTTGCAGCTACCTCGAACAAAGAATTAGTCTAGCGATTCAAAGGGGGAAGCGCAGTACGGACTCCTTTTAATAATATATTTTAGTTATTATATTTAAAGGTTAGTTATTGTTTTTATTGTTCTTCTTTTTTGTGCATTTCTGTGTTGGAAATAAAGAAATACATATATGTAGGTGTCGTGGGGGACCTGGATTGGAACACCTCCAAGTGATTTTCGCTGCTGGAGTTGATAAGTATATGCATATTAATGTAAAAGTACAAGCAAAACGTTAATAATTAAGAAATCCATATAAATAAATTGATGTAAAATCAGTCAATAAATTTAACACCCTTGCAAATAAATTCCTTCGTACTAGACGCCAAGAACGGCGACACCGTACATTGGCGCGGTAGTTCGGTAGGATGAAAAGAATACCTACAACCGGGTCGTACAATTATTATCGCTAAGTTCACTTGTGTCGAAGTCAAATAAGATTAATAGTTGGAAGTAATTTTTGGAAGTGTCGCGTGAATATTTAAATGAATCTCAATTATATATAATGTGTGCCGTGTAGCCTATGATAAATGTATCTTTGTAATACATTCAATAGGTTTACGTTTGAATAAAATGGGTTAACTCACTTAACTTAATGTAATACACACACATACGCGACAAGCTATAAACTAGAAGATGTCGGCGACATCAAAGAATTTTGTGTGTTGTACAAATTTGTTATATCTATGATATCATATACACTCACATTGCCAGAAGGCTCGCAAGTGCCTTTTAAGAATTGGTACGCTCTTTTCTTGAAGGACTCTAAGTAAAATTGTTTCGGAAATACTGTGGGCAGTGGTTCCACAGTTGTGGAACGAGGAACGTCGAGGTGATACTGGTGGAAGTACGTATTCTGCCTCGACGTCCGATGATGCTGTCTCTGTCTGTTCTCCGTGATAAATAATAAAGCGTTCACCTTAAATCACGAATCGTACTCACCATTTTGACTGTAACATTTCTTAAGTAATACGGTCTCATATCCGTAATATCCAGTTCATATTCGGTATCTCCATCAATTTCGGCGAACATGGTACTTGCAAGGCTGGCTTTGACGGTAAGTTCTGTAAAAGTTCCTTATATAATAAACGGTATCGTACTTAATAAGAATTCTTTATTTAAGGATATGTACAATACATAGGTAATTCTCCTCTGCCGCACACAAAGGCTTGCTATTTCTTATATAATTGGTGGATCTTTTTTTGCATTAGTACATAATTTTTCACATAATTTTCTAACAATAGATTAGAAGCCACATTTCCGGACCCGAACATTCATTTTGGATTTTATTGCTATTATTTCGGGGAATTATTCCAAGTAAGACGTCATTATATTTTACTAACTTGACTTACGGAGTCTCCGTTTTGAAATTCGAGTTATAGGGCATAAAGATGTTTTATCAATACTTTGTAGGGAAATAACATATTGTTCGAGTTACAAAGTCTAAATAATTCGAGATACCGCGTATTTAACGGTTCAGCGGAAGGGAATGGCAATTATTTTCGACTTACTGAGGATTTCCACTTAACGAGGTTCGAGTTATAGAGATTCCATGTAATTGATACTATAAGTTGATAACATTATCATATATTCTGACTGTATTATCGAAAACTTTTGACCGTACAAATAATAAACATTAATTTAAAGTTAGAAAGAATGAAGAAAATAAAGTTTATACATACTTGCTGTCACATTGACAGCTCTGGGATATGTTATTGCAACTTTAACGGGAATCGTAAAGTTATCGTGAGATTCACGCACTACCTGTAAAATGGAAATAAACTTTTAATAATGAACCACAGAAATCACCCTTAACTCCAAGCGCGAGTTGTGTAACTTAACGTTAGTTAAAAAAAACATGTGTTTTACCTGTTCACCTACTACGTTTAATGTTACGGTAATTGAAGGTATACTACGATATATAGTAACTCGCTGGCTGTTCGGACTGCCAACCGCTAAAGCTGAAATTGAAATAATCTATGACAAATATAAAAATAATAATAATAATTCTATTAAACAAGCTGGATCTGGATATCCATAGTTGCTCCCCCTCACACTTCGAGAGCGATTTTCGTTTAATGTTTATTTAAATTATATTATTGTTTTGCTTAATTTCTTTTTATTATTTGTTATATGCTATGTTTGCCTGTAAGTGCTTGACACATTAAAAATTGTATTTTATTTTTATTTTATCAATGTATCAGTGTGCAGAGTGTTGGCAAGCTTTTATAAATAAATAAATAGAATACAATATACAGATCTGGTTAAAATAATACAAAAAAAGTATTTCTAACAAGTGTGTACCACATAAAACAGTTCGGTGACCGTCGATGCACAATCTTATACTAAAATAATAAGTCCCGAGATGCCTTGTTTCGATATATCAAGAAGAGTGGCTCACAATTGTCAGTCGTAAGGATATGGAGAAATTATATTAGTTTGGGAACAATAAGAGAGGTTAGACTGATAACCTACTGATACCTTGCCTTATAATAGTCACAAAACGCACAAAACACTCAGTACAAAATTATAAAATTGAGGACAAAGTCGAAAAAGGCATATAAAATAACAATAGCAATGTATAATTTAATACAAATAATTTAAATAGCAAATTTGTATTTCTTAATCTAGTCTATTGTCTTTTTTTTCATTGTATAATTTCTTTTCTCTTTTATCATTGTAATGTTTCCCTTTAAAACTTTGTGCACACTTTTCATTGATGCACATGTATGTATTGTATTTGTTGTATGTCGTGTGTTCTATGTAAGTGTTTGTATATGTTTCGATATTGTGCCTTTTTTAAATAAATAAAAACATATGTATAAAGAAAAAACTAATACATAACTTTAATCCGGTAAAAAGTTTTTTCTTTAAATGTGTAAAGGTTATGTCAATCAAAGACAATACTATGAACATATGTATAACTTAGAAGGTACACGTGTATCTTGTTATGAATGCCCCCTAAATGATTTCAGCCCTACAAATGAAGGAAATATGCCATTCACACACATGTTTGAGACCAAGTAATTCTTGAATAACTCACCGTTTAATTGCGTCCGATCAAATGCTTGTATAACATGAAGACTGTAGCCAAACGTTTGGAAGTCTGAAATTTTTATCTCCTGTGTCTTCAAATCTTTAATTAAAAGATTTTCTTTCTTAAATAGTAGTTGTTCTTTAACTTCCCTGCCAGAGATAACATAGACCGTGCCAGATCCTTCGTATGGTGCGCTGATAATCAATTCTAAAAAATAAATAATATATATTATACTAGCAGACCGGCCAAGCGTTGCTGTGGCTAAGGTTTTTGTTACATTACATAGTAGCAAACTATTCAAGGGAAATGGTAGGAGAACACCAGTCATGGGGACCACCATGCTTTTTTGGTGGTTATGCCATTAAATTGTAGCTTATATGAAACGTTGGTACTTTCAACACAGCGCCATCTGTTAGGATTGTGACTATCAAATAATAAACAAATATTTTGCAATAAAATAATATTGCGGGTATAAATTGAGATGTAAGCTATCCTATCTTTTAAGTTGGATCAAACTACACACGTTGTGCAAATTTGATTGATATTGGTTCGGTAGTTTAGGAGTCCATAGCGGACAAACAACGTGACACGTAATTTATATTACGTAGATTAAGATGACCACGGAGACAATTTTATTCTTTTTCATGCTTTCACATTCTATTGAGCTATTATTACTATACTTATGTTATTAGCTTATACAAGGTACAAATATTGATTTGTTTATTTCATTCCAAAATAAAAATTCATAGAGTATTCCAAATGTGTTTAAAGACTTGAAATTTTCGTAGCTACCATTGAACACTTTATAATATTAAATTTACGATTACCATTATCACTATTGCTCCATTACAAACATTTTAATTTTAATCTGTGAAGTAGTTCTAGCACTTCTCTAATTATATCTTCTATTTGTGATGTGTCTATTGCTTCTTTATTGTAAAGTAAATTATGGTTAAATGTTGATTTGATGGTCGATCAAGTAGACGAAATGAGCGAGGACATAGGGCTCTTTTGAAGGTACTGCTATTTCGGCCACAGGTTCCCATTGTAAGAGCCTACCATCTTAGCAAATTACTTTCGGTAAGGAAAAGCACAAGAGCTCTCCCCTTTGATTGTAATGATAATAATTTATTTGCTTCTTGCAAATAAATTATGGTATAAAATTGTTATGATGGTACAATATAAAGTTCGCATATTCTGCCACACATAATGGCGCACAAATTACTCTTAAAAGAAATTTATATAGGAATTACATACGAGTACATTATGAGTCATATCATTATAGTAAATTCTTATATTATTTGTAGTGATAAATATCACATTATTTAAATACATTATTACGTTATCAAATATTTTTTTTCCAAACAGGTGTGTGGTAAATTGTTTTTATAAAGAAATGGGGAAGTTGTGGTCGTCAGTGAAGACTGACTTCTTTCTGATATGCAAGCAGACTTCATCTACAATAATTTAAATAGGCTGCTTAATATCTACCTGCTCACTTTCCACAATGAAAAAAAAAACTACTAAAGGTCTGGCTTCTGAACACACCTTACACAGAGTTGGATATGCTACTGAGCAGTGGCGAAACTATACCATCTGGGGCCCGTGGCAAATTCTTTTGATGGGATCAGTAAAAATCGTCACGTTGTACTCAGTTTAATTTTAATAAATTTCGAGATTTTCAGCGTACTTCAATTACACATTGTATATGTCTCACTAATGGCCATAGGCTTCCTCTCTTAGCTGAGAGGGAATGGTATGGAGTCCCCACGCTAGCCTTAGGCGTATTGGAGACTTCACATTCATCCGTAGAACATAATATCTCTTGGGCAGGGGCCCACTTGGGTCGGGGGCAAGTGGCATTTTGCCAGCCCTGCCACCCTATAATTACCACTGCTACTGAGACACATTCATACACTCACTCATTCACTATTTTTTTAAAATTGTAATTAAAAATATAGATTTATATATATTAACGATATGGAATTAACTATTAAGTATTAAGTTTTAAATGGAAGGGAGAAAACCTGACATAGGTACTTAATCCCAAATTGTACCCATTTAACTGCATTGTTAAGTAATAAACATATTTTAATTTTATTTATTTAAGACGAACATGCATATTCAATTTATACTGTCTTTGTTAATTATTAAACTCCTAAACGGCTGATTTTGATGAATTTGAATGTGTTCAGTGGATTCCGATATGGTGTTTTTGTTCATTTTTGACATGTTTAGTGTTTACGGACGTCTGTCCGGGCCGCTAGTATATTATATCTCCTACTGCTTTCAAAGCCCATGCATAATAACGTTCTATTCCGTATATGGAATAGTGACTAGTTCTTATATACATATCCTGACCTGGTAAGTCATCGTCATCCAGATCAGCTGACGCAATGGCTGCACCGAACCTTGAACCATCCTCTTTACCACAAATATACAGATTCGCTTTGGTTCTAGATCTTGCCTAAAATATTAACATCGAAGTAAACAATCTTTCTCTTAGTATTGTCTTTTATTAACATAACCTTTATAGTATTAGACCCGCTAAACAACGACCTCACCGAGATGCTTATTTAACGAAACTGATTTTATATATAGTTTAATATGTCAATAAATTTAATCCATATTGGTTGCCTAGCATAATTTCAGTCCAGAGTATGTTTAATTGATATTAAAAAAAAATTTTTTTTATATTTGCGTGTAATAAATTTTTTGAACGTTTTTCGTGCGATATTTTTAATCAGGGTAGAATTATATATGTATCACTATAGCCTTCTTTTATACTAAAATGTATATATACTTTCGCACGGAGTTGGAAATATCCACATAAAAAATTAATTGATTGAAAACAACCTAACTTTGGCATAATCTATGGGCTTCATACGATCGATTCCTATAGAATTTTCTAATAATCATACCGGTGGAATGTTTAAAAAAATTTTTTTTTGAAATTAATTAAACATACTCTGGACTGAAATTATGCTAGGCAACCCATATGGATTATATTTATTCCCATATTAGGTTATCATGTAACAATAATTTTACATAAGCCTTTAAGTCCTTTAAAGGCAGAACATTAAAAAAAAACACTTTTTAACCGGATTAAAGTTATAAATTTACAATTAGTTTACATAATTATAAATTTAACCGACGTTTCGCGTGCTTTACAGCGTGCGTGCGAGGTCACGGTGACTGAAGACAAAGTTGTTTTATCTGTATTTATTTCCCCGGATTGGTATCGACTAAAAAGGGGGGTTTTGGCAGAAATGGCAAACTTCACTTATTAGCGGAGTACATTATGAGATCTTAATTCGGATATTATTGATCCCAGGTGTTTTCCCAGGTGTATCAAACTGTGCTTTATTTAATAGAACCTTTAAAAAAATTTTGTTTAAATCTGTCCTTATTAGATTTACTTGGCTAACCACATTACGCAATTTTGGAACTTTTAAAAACATACAACTCACTTATTAGCAACATTATGAATCTTTTTCATTATTTTTAAATGTTCAAACTGTTATTAAAAGGCCGGAAATGCACTTGCGAACCTTCTTGCATTGTTAGTATCTATAGGCGGCGGTATAACTAAACATCAGATGAGCCTCCTGCCCGTTTGCCATTGTCAATAAATTTTTCTTCAATACACCGTTTTTTTTTTATATATTTCGTGAGTGTTTTAAATTAAATTAAATTTAAAATTTTGATTACGTGTTCATACTTTCTTAAGTCCTCTAATACTCGCGCAAATGACCTTATAAAAAAAGCATTCTCAATAGCAGAATAGTTATAAAATATTAGACATTATGTTACCTTTTCCCCTCCGAGATATATGTAAACCGCTCCCACCTCATAGCTTCCAACCCAACAGGCCAATCCAGGCGCTCCCACGAACAAATCTGAGAACCCGTCATGATCTATGTCTGCAGCGTATAACGCCGCACCAAACATCGAACCCACTGTACCTTCTCTGAAAAGCAGTGCCTTTTCCGTGCTCGGGTCTTTTACTATTGACAAGACATCGCTTGTGGTTTTGTAACTGAGAAAAGCGACCTATTAAAAAGCAGAGGACATGAAACCACTTCACAAATATTTAATTAATTCAATTCAATTCAAAAATCATTTAATCATATAGGTAACAAAATGTACACTTATGATCGTCAAAAAAAAGAATGTATATGAAATGCTTCTAACTTTACATTTAGTGCCAGTTCTCAAATCAAGGGCGTAGAACGGAAGAGAAGAACTGGCAATAAACTCTCCGCCACTCTTTTTAATCGCCATTTTTTTTTTTTTTGTTTGTAAGGAGCTGCAACCATTAAACCATGTTCCACATGACATCATAAGTAATTAATAATAATAACATAACTTAAAAACAAAGACTTGTCCTCTATCAGCAGGAACCATGGATTTATATTCTTTGTTGGAATATATGAGATTTAAATTTGTTTATTTATTTAAAGTAAAATAAAATATATAAAAATGATGTGACGTTGGAATATAAATTGGTCACAATTTTTTCTTCCACCGAAACATAATTCGATAAAGTCGATATTCATAACAATTATATTATAATAATTAGGATAACACGGTGGGAACCTGTTGTTGATGCCCGAGCCAAGTGTCAAGGTGCAGGGTGACTTGTTTGTTCAAGTACGTAAATATAAAATACAAGAAGAAACATATTTATAGTCCGATCAATGTAATAGATTTTAATATATTATATTTGATGTTTTTGTTAGACAGTTTTTTATATAGATGATTCCGGTAAGGAGTTAATTACATTTGGAATCATATAGTTTAGTGTTCTTTTTCCGTTCTTCCCGCGCGTTTTGTACGTTTTAGTGAAGTTTTGTGTAAAATAAAAAAACTTTAATACCTTAGAAATTATATTTATATATAAAAAAAACGTGTGGCACTCGGGGTTTGCCGCGGTAAAGCTATTGCACAGCATTTTTTATCAATTATTATTATTTAAAAAAATACTGTATAAATATACAGTATTTTTTTCTTTGATATTAATTCAATCTACCACTCGGCCAGACTCAGATCAGCCTATATAGTCTGTCTCACTCTAACGCGTACCGGCTGCACCGGCCGCGCTCGTCAGAGAGATGTGAATATGCAATATGCGTTCTGTCCCGCTCTAACGCGTATTGGCCGCAACTATATTACGTCATCGTGTGTTAGGTTATTTTCGTTACGGAATTGATTCGGTTGCCAATCTCAAAGCCCGCGATAAAATCTATGCAATAGCTTAATACTTACGAACTTTAGCGCGTGTGGAAGCCTAGTATCTAATTCCAAAAATATCACATACATACCGCGTAAATACAAATTAGAAAAATTCACATGTTTTAATAGAGAACTTACAGCTCCTATGCGTCTATCATTCTCCATACTGAACGCAATCAATGATTTGTGATCTTTAAAAAATACACCATTAGCAAGTGCTCGCCCTGAAATAAATAGTTCCTGTTTATTACACGTTTATGACACATTATGTTTAGCAATTGTACCTAAATGTAAAACGAAGACTTCGAACTCGGAATTGTAATAATTGATTTTGGAACTAAACCAAAAATGTATAGGTACGTTCCTTCGAAATAGATTTGACCTTTATTGTTTCCTTAGGAAACCGACTAACAACGTGATTCAAGTTACTCATCTCAATCCCCTTTAGAGATGTTAGCCTAGCCTGTGCGACTCTCGACTTTAAAGTTCCTACAGACCTTTCACCCCAGCTGTGGTTAAGACTTAAGGTGGTGAGGGAAAACATTGCGGTGATAACAGGGAGATAAGAAAAACAAAAGACGCACGATGAAAGGGTGAACCCGTTGGAGGTACTGATGTATCTTGTCGCGCAGTGGACTAGTAACCTTAATATGGATACATACTCGTAAATTGACCAATCATAAACGGAACGCGCAATCGTTATTTCATTTCATTTTAAAGGTCCAATTAGAGAAGAGCGTACTTATTATTAAAAAGCTGACAATGCCAGAGTGTCCATGGGCGGCGTGTTGACCCCTGTTCTATATTATTTATTTGTATATTCTATTACTAATACCACATTGTGTATTATCATTTTTATATTCGTGAGTGTTTGAAATAAAATAAAACGTACGTAAAGTTACGTTACTTTACGTTACGTTACGTTACGTAACGTTTTCTTGTTTCTGAATCTTATCCTAACAACAAACGGCGTGTCTCAGACTGGTTTAACGAGAAACATAGAAACATAATCACGGAAAAAATATAATATTGAGGCCAAGAAATTATATACCTTTATAATTGTATAGCATTAATAAATCCTTATCTATATGCTGCACGAGTTTAGGGAAGCCTCCCGAAGTTCCAATCGGTTGATAACTTATTCTACTTAAGCCCTGATTGCTCGCTGGTTTCGCAAATACGACTATCTTGTTAACTTCGTCCACTAAGGTTGACCAACCAAAAGTCCCGTAAATATCAACTGAAATTCAAACATTTTTTTTATATATATCACAAAAATAATTAGAAAAACATTAATGTATGTTACTAAGCGTATCATATCATTAAAGTCAAATGCTGATCCAAATTCTTAAAAAGGGATGTTGACGCATCCGAAAATCTGAAAGCATTGTACCCGGCCGCCCCCAAGCTTTATAAAACAGGGCGAATTGGCCGATGCGAATGGCCCTTGCTGTGCCAAGGCCCCTACCACATCATTCGTGGCCGTAGAGGCACAGATAAATAAATAATTAGTTATACTTAGTTTTAATTTTAATCGAAATTCAGTACAAGCCCCAATTAGTTATAGAATATTTTGTCACATTGATTAAATGAAATATGCGAGAGTGATAAGCTTTTAGTAAGGGAAAATGTTATCATAAGTGACTAGTAACAAACATTTTTAAAACAAATAACAACGTAGAAGGCAATACTAACGATTACTTGGAGCATCCGTAAGATTGGACTCCAGAGACTTCATGTAGTGTTCAACCAGACGATTAGTTTTTGTATAATTGTATCCTGTTGAAGCAAAGCATGTACCAAAGGGACCATCAAGAGATCTACCCTTGGGCAATTTCAAAGTCATTGCCCATAGTGGAGCACATGTCTGCAAGTTGAAGGGATTAATAAGGAATATAATTAAATCAAAATTCATTCATTTATATTGTTAAAAATTATTATGTACGTCAATTAATGGTGTCGGCAAGGAGAGCTCTGTCACATCTGAGTTCCTTAGTGGAATAAATAGTCATAAGTTTTTTTAAGTGTATAAGTTATACTACCCTTGTTACCCAACTAATTTTTAGTTAGTTTATTGCTTTCTTTGATATTATTAAAATGATTTTATTGTTACCAATCCAGTTAATTATTAAATACTTAATTATATGTAAAGATTTGTCTAATGGCGTAAAAAAACTTTATATTTTGTAAGTTAGCTATAAGCTGTAATTTATTTTTTTCATAAATAAAATAATATATAATTATTTTTAAAGGAATCTCGCTGTAGGCCTTAAGGGACTTTATAGCTCAGCTCGGGCTGTTTTGGCGAGCGTAGCTCGGCCTGAATGGGCGGAAAAAAAAATCTTAATTACATTAACCAAATCAAGGGCGTAGAGCACGTAAGAAGGACTGGCAAGCCTCTCCTACTTTTTTTTGAATCGCCAAGTTTTTGATTTTAGTACCAATACAATTGTATTAGAATAATGATACATTAAGGTTATTGGGCGTCAAAGACGGTAGGCAAATTTTAATATCGAATTATTGTACCAGTTTAATTAACCGTAACGTTATCGCGCTTTGAGCCCGCTTTGATATCGTAAAACAATTAAATAGATATTGCACCAAAGCTTCAGTACTCATCTATCTCTATCCATTACAGCATAAACACAAATCGACAGAAAGAGACGTAAAGTAATAAGAGTACCAAAAGACGGATTTCATGTTTATGAATAAAGGCGTAAGTCGCTCTCCTTATCACAAGTTAAAGATTACCGGCACCTTATCTACATAGTTGGTAGTGGACGAAGTTTATTTTGTACAGCAAATTTGTACTTACCACAAAGTAGGTTTTTGTTGCTGCAATTGAACTTCCGAGACAGAACTGTTGGTTTGGATATATTGCTGTAAATATAAGAAATTATGTTTCTTCTTTAAATGTTTGCCTACGTTTTTTCAACAAGAGGTCGATACAATAGTTCAGGGTAATAGCCCTTGGAAAAATGAACAACGAAACAGACACATAAATGTCTGCTCGAGGGAATTTCAAGTTTTGATTAGCTTTATTCTGTCAATTACATATTTGTGTAAGGATTTCAAGTTGAAATAATCTGATGCTTTTTTATATTAATTTAAATAAATGTTTTATAAATGAGGTTTGTTAAGAATCGACTCCAATATCAGCTTAGTCTCATTCGTGTTCTGTTCATAACATTTAATATCTTATTTAAAATACTTACACCTGTCATATTCGTTTGCATAATCGTTTAGATAAATGCCAGAGCATGCAATAGATTTCGTGCTTTCAACAATATTTAGTGGACACACAAATACAGCCCCATTCAAATCAGCGTAGGGTGCGCCGACCACTGAAAGAAAGAAAGGCTTTAAGATTTACGTAGAATTATAGAATTTTCTAGAATAACTTCTGCAAATTGAAAGGAAAATATATCCGGTAATTTTCCTTTCCCTATATCCGGTAATTTAGCGTGACGGAAAATAATCTACTTATGTTATTTTGTGTTGCAACGAATAGGGTCTTTGATACTATACAAACACTCGTTTTGCAAACAATCATTTAAAATCTCGAAAGTTTATATATACATAAGTATGGGATTTTACATATTATGGTAGTCAATCTTAAAGTCCCAACTATGAATCTCACGCTGTCTCGATCTTTTGTCTCTGTCTTGTTCTTTTCACTGCATCCCTACAAGGCGCATTCTTTATAATTTTTATGAAAACGTGCACTAAACACTTAACGTAACCTACGTCGGTCGGATGTTTACGATATTTATTCAATTAATACGTTTTGTATAATTATAAACCATTCGTTATAAAACAATTGCATTTGTTTTGTATTTGGTATTCCTCTTTTAGCGCAAAGCGCGGGAAACACGCTAATCAAATTTGACAATCACATTGACTTGGAGAAAAAGTGAAATTTATATAAGATATCTGTGATTAAATCAATTATTTTCTTCAAAGTGACAATCGTTTTGTAGAGCAAGGCATTCGATTTGTCTTTGGTATTTCTCCTTATCCTTATCTAGCGCAAAGCGCGGGAAACTCGCTAATCAAATTTGACTTGTCAAGTCAATATGACAATGTGTACATTGATAATTATATTTCGATATTTTGGAATCTGTGTTTCTATTTTAGACAAAGTGACAATCGTTTTTTAGATATTAGCATTTCATGACTTGTTTTGTAATAGTGAGAGAACAAATCGTTTGCATTCAAATAATTTATAGTTTACATACAGGAAAGACCTACCTATGGTACCTATTTCCAAATAATCAGATACATTATTATATATTAAATACATTTTTAACTAACATAAACGCGATTTTATTAGAATAACAAGAGGAAATTCTCTATTTAAATTCTACATTTATCGAGTTAATTCAACATTTGAAATATACAAATTGAACTTTAAGAAAAATAACCATAGACGCTAAACAACATTAAAGTAAAGAACTGTTACTCTAAACTCCTACGCGAAAGCTAGGTTACAAGTAGTACCACAATGTTATACTTACAAAGTGTTTCATTAAAAAAACTTATAGATGAACCAAACCCCAAGGCGGACTTAGCATTAGGTTCTAAGTAAATCCTTGATTGTTCGTGAAAGTATGCAGCATTTGTACATTTGATAACTATTAAATACAGAAGCAGTGACAAACCTTAAAAACAAAAATTTAGAGATTATCTTCTTAATTACCAGGCGTTTTTAACACTAGTTTTTTAATACACTTTTTAATAGACAGATTTCTTATAGCGGCTCGGAATGTTGGTGGAAGAGGTAGCAAGATAGTTGGTGGTGAACTTTTACAAATTTATTAAAGTAAGTTTAATTAAATAAATAGTAAATAGTATTAAAATTTTATCGTTATTTAATTTGCTAGTTCTATAAGGCGGACTATTTGTAGAGTCAGTGGCCCTTACAAATTATTAGACACTTAAATAATATTAATTTCATTTAATATAATTTCGCCGGACCAACAAGGCCATACCTAAAAAAGAAAACGAACGAAACTTATCAATTGATTATACAATATCTGTAGACGGCGTGCAAACAAAATGTTTATAATATAATAATACTTATAATTAACAAGTGTACAAAGATAAATATCACCAAAGAATTACAAAAAAACCCTTTAATTACAATACATAGCAGTTAAGAACATTAAAGACACAAAAAAGGTTTGGAAAAAATAAATGTAACAGGGTTTCCAGCTATTAAAAACAAATTACAAAAGCTATTATTATTTAAATGTCTATTTCATTGATTCGGTAAGTAGATGAACAGTGTTAAATATACACTTACCCATATTGTAATAATTAAAATAATAACCAATGTTACATTACTACAAAATACGAGTGTACACTGAATCAATTAATATTCAAGTTTTCCTGAGACCGTGAGTGATTGTGCTATTATTAGTTCATACATAGTTATACAATATGACATAGCATCATTTTGGAATTTTTATATTATTTTTTTTATTATCCTGAAACTAAAAGAGGCGAAGGTTTTTGCTACATGGACTTGATGATGTAATAGTGTTCGGCATGATCTTTACTTTTATATTATTAACATTTTTTTTTCTAATGTGATCGATAAGTGTTTATTGAGAATAACCTTCTTATTTACAGTTTAAGGGACATATAAAGGACACGTAAGCATGCAGATAACATCAAAATCGATCCATCCATTATGAAAAAACTATTTTTGAGACAGAAATAGCAAAAATCAATTTTGAAATAAAAAATCATTTTATTCGATACAATTTATTATGTTATTTTTTATTTTTAAGTGTTTAGTGCAATAAACTGTAAAATTCTGTTTTCCTCATTACCTTCCTTGTTGTACAAAAATCCAGTACTATATCTTCGAAATAGCAATTGCGTTCTGTGATGTTTGAAATTTTAATATTTTTAACAATGATAGTCTGTAGTTTTTGAGATAAAGGTATGTTTGCGGGAGATGTAGGGCTCTTCCAGGATTACTCAAACAAAGTCTAGTTTCTTTTTTTTTGTAGAACGGGGCAACGGGTAGTATGACCTAGTAGTAATATTTTGTGGGACATATTTATTTATTTATAAGCAGTAATATTACGTGGGTAACACTGAAAATTTTTAGAATTGGCCAGTTAAAAACATTTCTTATGATTTTTTTTTAATTTCAATTTTAGAACTCTGGCAACCTAATTTAGTGTATTGCATTAATTTGTCATTTGTTTTTGTGAATTGGCGGCAAATCTAAAACACTTGTTACACGTGAAAATGTTTGTCAAAGTTTATGATTGGATAACTTCTTATAAATGAAAAATGAACGGTTTATATGGCGCGTTAAGGTAATATGTTGTCCATATGTTCATAATAAGTTCTTTGAGTATGGAGAGTGAACATTAACAAGCTAAAAGAGGCTTGCTAACACAATTATTGTCGGTCGTTAAGCTTTTTCAGGTGGTCTCAATTGTCGAGTTTACCACATCCTTTGAAGAGATCTAGTTATATGGTGATGAAACATTTTCATCTATTTTATATTTTATAGTATTGGATAGAGTTTAATTTGTCACTAGATTATGCAAACTTACTCATCTGGGTCTAAGTGTATTTATTTGTAATTGTCAGAGCCGAACATTATATTTTTTAGTTTGTAAGAGTAATATGTATAGTTACTACTAAGCCGATTCTAAAATTTATTTCGATAATGATGACACTGTCTGCGTGTTATTTTATATATGCTAGCAAAAGTTATAAGAACGATTTTTTCGTCCATTATTTTTGACCATTGTTAGTATTAGTTGATAAAATTAAATAGGTATTAAGCAAAATAAATAATATAAGTACCATTCTCAATAGAATCATATAGTAGCATCTGTGTAGTTGTAGCAATCGTTGTTTTTAGTTGAATAATTACGTTTTATATATTCTGACTAATATAAATGCGAAAGTGTTAAGTTTAGTTTTTGGCAATGGCTTTCATTTTACTTGTATTAATTATAACATTATATCCAGCGCTGGGGCTAAGAAGCACAGTGTTCTCGTCTCAATGGAGCAAGACGAATAACTGGTGACACAAATGTATACCAGCCTTGCGATTCTGTAACTCACTTTTCGAACTCTCACAGCGGTTTAAGCAGCGGCGGTCGCCCTCAAATCAGTCGTGAAGCCGTCATTTTACGATTTGGCATTCTGATAAACAATAAACTAGAAGCTCCCTCCTTATCTAGGTATACGTAGACTTTTGTTTCTTCGCGATATTTTCTTTCACCAAGTCATATACATATTACAATGATAGAATATAATTCGGTGGACAGGCGGTTCATACGTTCTCATAGTTGAACATCCCACGCTTTTCTACTAGACCAAAACTACTTCAAATATATCGATATTTAAAAGCCAAGACAAATATTTCGCTCACTCGTTTACGGCTTTCTATGTCGACAAATTCCCTAATAAGAAGTAACATAAATACACTTCAACTAACAACATTTATGCTATTTATTCAAGCACAAGTAATACTCGAAACATCTGTTTTGTCTCCCTTAAGAGGTTTTGTAACATACAATACGTGAACCAAGGCGTAATTATAGGACTTTGACACAAATCTTCGTGTTTAATTCCACAAATATATTCGAATTATACATTAAATAAAACCTAAATGATATTTTGATTTGATTCTCTTCATGAATAGTAGAGCGGGGCTAGTTGAGCATAGGGGCAAATTGGGCAATCGAAATATCTCGGAAACTATTCACCATACGCGGGACTATCAAATAGCGAAAAGAAGGAGTGGTAGGAGAGGTAATCATCGCACGATAGCTAGTGGCAGCTCGACGAGTGAGTGAAGTGTCACGGCGTTTTGTTTATTTTGTGACCAAAAAGTAAAAACATTGTTTATCGCAAGTTTTCGTCTGTCTTTGTCAAATGTTCTCTGTTTTCAATCAGGAGAGTGTTAATCTTTCAGAAGATTATTGTATTTTTGATTTGTAAATAGGTTTTGGGTCTAATTCTAGGCATTTATTTACAATCCTACTTTTCTTTTAAAATTCCGGGTTGGGGTAAGTTGAGCAACTATAGCTCAACTAACTCTACGACTTAAACAACTGATGAGTAATGAATCTTTTATTTTTTGTTTGGATGCGGACTTACAAGAGGAAGACTACAAGATGTTCTTACACTACTGAATACTTAAATAATGCTGCAAAGGCTGTCCACGATGAGGGAAAAAGTGTAAATACCGCCGCTAAAGAATTCGGTATTGGTTGACTTTTAAATAAATTAAATGAAGGTGATGATTTATGGGCTATACAACACCGAGGGAAGTATATCCTCTCTCACAAGAGAACTGTTGAAAAAATTCTTGCTGCAAATAGCATATTTCTCCAAAAGACGTCCGTCGCCTTGCCTAAGAGTGTGCTGAAATTCCACCAAGCTGAATTGCAAAAAAAGATTTCCGGAAAAGAATGGTTGATGATGTTTTAAAAACAAAAAAATCGTAGCTATCCATACAGAAACCAAAACCCACCAGCCTTGGTAATCTTTTTTTAGAAATTATCGGAAGTAATGGATAGATATGGATGCTCATGTTTTGTTGATTCTAGTTTCGGTTAATTATACAAAGAAAATTTCTTTAAATTTTGTTGTTCTGTCAATAAAAGACTATAAATAAAAAGCTGACTGTCTAACACATATTTTATTTCATCTCAAGTTAACATAGAACCCATGGTTTGGCCTAGACATTCTTAGTGCTCAACTTGCCCCATACCCTTGCTCAACTTACCCCACCTATGGGGTACATTGAGCATACTTGACTTTCTGCATTTAAACATCTGTAGCTATTATATTGGACTTGTTACAAAAAAATACTATGGACACTTTTGTTAAGGGATAAATTACTAATCCATCAGGACACATAACAACTCATTGAGACTTATCATTGAGGAGCTATATCCAAGCAAGTGAAAAATTGCTCAACTAGCCCCGCCCGACCCTAATGAATCTTTTTGAATTCAAAAGAAATTGCGTATTTTTTTGTTCTTTACGTAATGATTATTTCACTTGTACTGTTGGCACTACTATATATAATTACGCCTGATTAATTCATTTTAGTATGTTAATAGTAATGTTATCGAGTTCTTGTTCTGTCTGTCCACGCGTTGTGCGGCTCCAACAGGAGAATCAGTACTAGAACACCTTATACGGAATATGGTGGTAACGAAGGTGCAGTGTACAGGCTAAGTGTAGCTGAAAATAACTCTACAAAACGTAATCTTTTTTTATTAGAACAGGGGGCAGAGGAAACGGGCAGGAGTCTCACCTTATGTTATGTGCCGCCATGGACACTCTCAATGCCAGAGTGCTCTTTTCTTGAAGGACCCTTAATCGAATTTGGAAATACTTTAGCATAATTGTTAGCATAATTCAAGCAATGATGTCAACTCGAATTGTATACTCAATGTATATGTATATTATGTATATTTAATTGTTGTGCATGGACTTATATTGGCTAAATATTAACGAAGGTCAAATGTTATACGTTATCTTCCGAAAATAATAAATAAAACTAGGTAGGCTAGGGTTGCCTGGAAGAGATCGTTTGTTAGCGAAAAGGCCGCCCGTTGCACCCCTTATACTTTTTGTGTATTATGTTATTTGTTTTTCTATGAATCTAAGGGAGTGTAAATAAATAAAACATTCATAATTCTTTATCATAAATGATGTTTTAATATAATTATTTCTCAGGTGATGTATTATTATCTTCGTCAATTATGCATAGTAGATGATGAAAAAGGAAAAACGTAACTTTATATTTTGTTTTGATTTTCTTAAATTTATAAGTTCATGCAATGTACTAATAATATCCAAGTTCTTTAGCACCATCGGCGAGACCCAGCATCATCTGCACAACTTCATCACCCTGTTCTGGTATTTTCTCTGGAGGCCAGTGGAACGATGAGCCCCTCAACTCATATGTGTACACTAAAGGAGTTTTAAGGGCATATCGTACCCAGTCCATACTGCCGCCCGACGCTTTATCTGAAATAAATTACAAAAGATTTGTGTGATCTGATCGAATTCATTAAGATTCATTTCTTTCAAGTTCAACACATCATAATATATAATGCTATATCTACAGTATATCTTACAAAGCTATCATTTATAAAATATATAACAATAATGGTAAACATAAATGTGAAAAAAGAATCAATTTAAAAATTAATAAATAGAAAATTAAAACAAATTCAAAAAGTTTGGTTCCTGTGGCAGTGTACCTTTAACGCTGGCAGCATTTCCTCTGTATTCGTTGAGAATAAGTATCGCAATACAGCAATTTATATATGAATAATTTTTGGATTTGTTTTAATTTTTAAACTGCCTTGCGATTCTGTAACTCACTTTTCGAACTTTCACTGCGGTTCTCAATCAACTACAAGCTCTCTCCTTATCAGGATGCCAAATCGTAAAATGACTGCTTCACGACTGATTTGAGCGCGACCGCCGCTGCGAAAACCGCAGTGAGAGTTCGAAAAGTGAGTTACAGAAGCGCAAGGCTGTATATTTATTTAGTCAAAAATATAACTGTTGTAATTCATAACATTACTGTACGTTTCAAGAGTTTTACAGCATTTGTGGTCAACGAGAAACTCCCAAGTTGACATAATAACATTTCATTATTATACATTTATATCTGTGGCCCCATGACTGCTTTCAAAGTACCTTGGTTTATAAGAAAATAAGTACGTCTATCGGTACGGATCGTTAGCGTAATGGTTTTAGTTATGGTAGAAAGTTAACAATAATACTTTAAAACTAAAGTTATGTAATAACACCCTAAACGCAGGAACAATTAATTTCAAACAATGCTGGATCTAAATTGGAGGGCGCCACAGGATCAAACTTTAAATTAAGATTAATTTACTTGAAATTAAGGCTTACAGTGTGTCTTAAGACTTAGAAACAATGTATTTATGATTACGTATATTCATTAAGATGGCTGTGATATATATTAGTATAAATCTTGATGGATGCTGGTGGCTGGATGCAGTGGCTACTGATCTGATTGATTTTAAAACTTTTATTAAAAATACACTGTAGAAAACGGTATTCCAAATTAGTGTATTATATTCAAGATAAAAATTCTTGGACACATGCTGGTCCTGCTCCTTAGGGCAATTAAACTAGACAACATCAACTGGTTGCTAATTTAGTCATATAGGCTTATATGTGCTTTTTTTTTTAAAGAAATTAACTTTGACGTAACTCACTCACTGTTTGACTGTATGTTAATTATTTATTTTTTATAAAGAATGCTGAAAAATCTATAATTGCAATATTTGTGAATACGTGAGCACCATGTAATTACATAATAATTTAGTTACCTGATGCATTGTTTTTAACACTATGCGCCTATTTTATTTTAGTATTATTCTAGGTAGATGGTCTTCACATATAATTATTATTAAATCAATGTATACAAAATATTGTAAAAACTATTTTAAAAGAGAAAGTATGGAGTTTCTTGCCCATTCTTCTCCATATGAAACTATCTTTTGGAAGGGGCAACTAGAGTCATTTGTTTTTAATATGTTCAACTTGTAATTTTGACTTTCAAAAGTGCCTTTTTAATAGGCCCAATTGACAATAATGATTTGACTTGACTTGATTGTAAAATGAAATCTGTTATCTGACATTCGTACGTCAAAAGTGTGTTGGATTTTGACATGCAAGACTCATAGTTGGTGCTAGGTTTCTTAATCTCACCATAAGACCTTAAAGCGGGCCATAGACGGACCGCATGTTGCAGTCAAGGCCGACTGCAACATGCGTTTTGCTCAGGAACTGCTCGAGCGGTCCGTGTATTGCGAATATGAATTTAGTATTTTTTTATTTATTGTTTATGCCTCGCGTCCTTTGAATTGTGTCCCAAAAACCGACAAAAAGCGTAGAGACGGCAAGGCGGCTCGTGTCCCCTCGTCTCGCCTCGTGGAGAGTGTAGGCAATAACATGTAGACGCGAAAATAATTTGCGGTAAGCGGCTATCGACAATTTGGATTGACAAAGCGGACCGGTCTGGTGAACATAAGATATTCTATTATTATCTATTTTCTGTACCCAGTGTACAGATTACAAAATTTGTTAATTTTTATTTAAATTATTGTTGTGTAAAAATACGTAACTAGTAGAGTTTCGTATAGTAAATTCCTTGCTCAAGGCTCCATGTAAATTGTTAAGAGCTCACTTACACAAAGTTTCCGCGGCTGTGCCTGGACCGTCATATTTTTCGCCGTTAACTCGACTTCCATATTCGATTGAACGCTGACCAATTTGGACCTGTAAACATATTTTTTTTCATCATTTTGGAATGTTTATTTTGAGTACTGCCTTGGTTTGACATCGCTTATAAACTTAGAAGCTCCCACAAGTTTGATACCCGGCGAAATAATATTCTAACGCGCGGAACTATGTAATGCATGGTTGCGACATAGTTTCCTTTAACACAGCGAGATGTTTATATTCGAAAAAGACTTTCCATGCATATATTTGACTTGTATGATCCAACGACAGGAGGCAGTCAACTCACCAAATCATCATAATTATCAACATGTTCCACAGAGTCGGAATAAGGCAGTAGTAACAGCGAGGCATACGAATGAAAGGCAACATAGAAAAGCAAGTTGTCTATGGACGAGATGTATTTTGAGAGAGTTCTTGTTTCAATTTCCGAAAAGGGCTTGGAGCCGGCATAAAGCTGATAATCGCACGGACGACTCGATGCTGAATGTTCTGGAAATGACATCTTCTGTTATGTTAAAAAAACTACATTGTATTGTATTCATCTCTTTCTATCAAATTGTTAACGTTGGCGTTAAAAGAGACAAATGTAGTGCTCTAATAAAAGTCATAGGACTTATTATAAATTAAATTTTTAAAAAAAGATTACGGAGAAGGTTTTTGGTTTGTATAATTAAATAAATCTTTGTGTAAATGAAAGTCATGGAAATAGTATCGTCATTTATATATATAGAGACATATATATATTGTCATCTAAGAAACTATTTCATGAGAGCCAAAATTCCAAATAGAATATGTCCATATAGAAATTTCTTTGTATTGTGTCGATTTAACGAGGAACTTCTCAACAGTATTACAACAAAGGGTCAAAAGAGATACAAAATTGTTATAAGTAGCATGCCTGACCTAATAGGTGACCCAACTTTATTTGGCCTGTCTGGTCATACATTTCGCTTGTAATTGCAAACAATTCTTTATACTAATATATGAAAGATTACTCAATCTACGTCTGATGGGGCAAAAATATAGATGAAAGAAAAGATGCACACAGAATTATTATATAACTTACGGCCCCAATTATAGTCCCAGTTCCTATTGGGATCAGCCCCACGACAGCCATTTGATGATAAAGATCGTGTTTTTCTCCAATATCTATCCTGGAACACAAGATTTTATATATTATATCAATTATTTTTATAAATTAATTTATGAAGCCTTAAATTGTTACACATTGCCTCAGTAATTTATACTGTACGCACGCATTCCGATACTCGCTGAGGCTTTACGGGGAGTGTATTCAAATAATACGAAAGGTATTATTTAGTACGAAGAAGGGATTCTTGTTAGTGTTCATTATAAAGGTTTTAATTTGTTTACTAATAATATATATTATATAATATACAATATATAATATATAATATAATATATATATACAATTAGATAACATAACTTATTAAGGAGGCAACGGCGTTGTCGCTAATAAGTATTTCAAGTCTAAGCCGTACCAAACATATTACTCACAACATTGTAACTGTAGTGGTATCCATCAGGATTAACTGTGGGGAAGATCCTCCAATCGAACTGATCTCGCAGCCTCCTTATGTCCGGGTCGCGGCTTGTTAGTAATTGATTGATGAAGTAAGTTGTCGTTGCGGGCGCTATCCACTCGCGTGCGTGAATCCCTGAGGGGAATATTTCACAAGTTTTAGTAATTTATTTCGACGTGATCAACAAACACTAGATTGTTGTTTGTGGAAATTGTAGTATATTATAATTAAGAAATATATGTAGTATAATATGTACCGGTGACCACAGAGCTGGTGCTTGCCTCGCTCAACGAATAAGTATCGCAATACAGTGAGGAAATGCTGCCAGCGTTAAAGGTACACTGCCACGGCGACCAAACGTTTAAATTTGTTTTAATTTTCTTTTTATTCATTTTAATTATTTTTATTATTACTATGTAGGTTAAGAAAATAGTAAATACTGTATATTTGACTGTTATGCTTACTAATAAACACTTTATATGTATTTAATAATAATAAAAACATTTATATAATATAGCAGTAACTGAATATTTAATGCAAATCCTATATTAATTACTAGATGGTGAAAATATTTCCTAAGGAATTTACAACTTTACACGTGCGTATAACTGGAAGGTCTTTGGTACGATGCTTGGTGAGACAATCGTTTCAAGTTTGAAGAAGACGAACTACTATTTTTTTGTCCCATGCCTTACTACATATTACGTTACTTGGTACTCAAAGTTGGTACTAAAATGGCCCTAAAAAATATTGCATGATAAAATAGTAAGGGAAATGGCAAAAATATTCTTACTACTTCTATAACCAATTAGTTTTAGAAAACAAATGGCAAAAATCATAAATGAAGGATTAATAAATTGCGATAGAAATCTACAGAACGAACCAAAGTAAAATTACGGTAATAGAACGAAATGCACGTTTATTACTTTGACAAAACATTACCGACATGGTCTATTGACTCTGGTATTATCATTTAAACGCAGTACAATCAGTTAGAAAATCATAAAAGAGACAGTAGTTTATGTATTTTCTTTTAGTTCCCGGGAACTGTATGTAGCCCAAATACGCAAAAAAAATTTCGCTCGATATTTTCAAACTAAAAGTACCAACATGCGCAATTTTGCCCCATCCAAATTTTTTTGTATTCGAAATCTACAAAAGTGAAAGATATGCTCTCACCCGATTCAATGAAAAATACAGGTTTTCCGGTTTCCCTCTGTCCGTTTTCATAAGGCGTATTAATTCTTAATCCTAATATTTTTCGTCCTTCGTAACTTTGGCCAGCTACAATCAACTCTGTCCATTCGGGATTGACTTTTGTTGTATTCAAGATAAACTGGTGGATCTGTAGAAATATTTATTCATTAAATAGGAAAACAATTACGAAGTGTTATGAACTTTATATAAAAATACCTGTGTCAGGGTTGCCAACTCTTTCATAACAAACTTAATAGTAAATTTCATAATATTTTTATTTTTATATACAGTTTGCAACACTCGTGAGTGCATGAGTGTGTGGGTGCATGTGAGTGAGTGAATTAGTGTGTAATGTGTGCACATACCCGGTGAGTGGGTACATATTAAACAGCCTATTTAATTTACTGTAGGTAGATGTATTCTGCCTAATTCTAATTAGAAACAGTCTATTATAAAAATCCTTTTAAAATTATAATAATACTAGCTGATCCGGCAAACGTCGTTTTGCCATGTTTATCATTTATAATAAAAAAATAGGGGTTGATCGTAGAGGGGTGAAAATTAGGTGTTGTATGTATTTTTTAATGCTGTATCATAAAAAAAAAAAAAAATTTAAATATTAAAAAAATATTTGGTGGACTACCCTTAACATTTAGGGGGATGAAAACTTAGCATTTAGATGTTGTCCGATTCTCAGTTATACCCAATATGCACACAACATTTCATGAGAATCGGTCAAGCCGTTTCGGAGGAGTTTAACCACAAACACCGCGACACGAGAACTTTATATATTAGATGGATAGTAACAATTAAGCCATCCAATTAATATAGCAACGACCGAATCAATTAAATTCTTTACAGGGACTTTATGTCTAGTGCAGTCTACTCATACACCGCAATATACTTTTATACTTACATCATTAACATCATAATATGAATTCCATGAAAACTTTATACGCCGACGCGTATTTCCTTTTTCTAAGCGGATTATTCTAAGAAAAAATAATTATAAATTTTGTATTCTATAATATAATTTATATATTCGTATTTAACAAAACATTCTGATTAAAACGATCGTTGATGATTATGTACGACCCACGTTTTACGGCTTTCATTTTTTTTTGGTGATATTTTCAAATAAATTAACAAAATAAGTAATCTATAGGGTCTGAAGTATGGTAACATAAATAACAGTCCAAATAATCAAAGGCTGGCAACGGACTCGCGAGCCCTCTGGCATTAGCTGCCCATGGGCGGCGGTATCACTTAACATCAGATGAGCTTTCTGCTCGTTTACCTTTGTACTATAAACAAAAATAATAATCTGTGCCTTTAAGAGGGAGATGCGCTCAGTTGCTCCTCATTATCATGATCACCTCTAACCCATGAAGAGGTGCTGGTTATAGAGCCCCTTTACATGGCTGTACAGTTACAAATTTATAGGAAAAATAAGATATGGAAAGATAAAAATCACCAAGTCTTGATTAATTTTATTTTAATTAAATAATAAAAAGTTACAACTTACTTGGATATATCATCGTGTAGAACTTTAACTTTTAAATTTTCCTTTTTTACAGCTTCACGAAATAATGATACTAAGTGAGGTGAAAGGATAATTTCTGATTTGTTAAGAGATTCCGAATGTATTAGACTTTCCTGTAATTCAAAAATAACATTATTAAAATATAATATTGCTGACGTGACTTAATAACAAAATTATAATAAAGAAACCAGTGGCGCTACAACCCTTTTTAGGTCTGTGCCTCAGATTTCTGTATCTGTTTCATGATTATTTGTTAATCTAATAGGCAAGTGGGTGATCAGCCTCTTTACACTCGCCGTCGACTTTTTGGGTCTAAGGCAAGCCGGTTTCCTCACGATGTTTCCTTCACCATTCGAGCGAATTCGCTCTGGACATGGACTTTGTGTCTATGTGGACGGTAAATGTTCACATAGGCACATTGTTGCACAGCCGGGGATCGAACCTACGACCTCAGGAATGAGAGTTGCACGCTGACGCTACTAGGCCAACACTGCAAAAACACAACGAAATTATAATATTAATTTATAAGTATGTCGAGTGTCATAGCGATAGTTAGCGCATCAGAAATAGTAGCTAAACACATTCAATAATTAAATACTCCTAGAAACATAACCATTCCCTAAAAACAGGCTAAAAAATGTACTCTAACAACATGACAGGACACGACAAATACATAGACAACAGTTATTACATTAAAAACAAAATTCGGGGCGTGAGTGCACCGGCTGTACGCTGTGCAGGTTTTATGATAATAATAATTAAAAACAAAATCTGATTATGAGATTTTAAAAAAATATTCCATTTAATCATTATATTTATGTTTAATTTTTTTTTAAATATTTACTTATTAGTTACACAACAATAACAACGTTACAGTTTTTTAAAGAATAAAATTATTTTAATATTAAACACTTACGTCTACATTGAGCATGAATTTTCTTAAATTCTCCAATCCCTCTCTACTCCCGGTCAATTCATAGTATTTATAATCTTTATAATCTCTATATTTGTCTATAAAAACGGCGTGAGAAAAATATAGAAAATTAAGAAAAAATAGCAGCAACATGACTGAAAAGAATGAAGTGGAAATTTTTTACTTATATTTATTACTTACACATGTATTACAATAGTACTTCAATTATGTTTGTTATGTACTATTATTAAGGTATGTACACACTTGTTATAAAATAATATATTTTGTGAGGTAGCTATCTGTTCATTGCTTTTCTGAACAAGTAACAACTAGTCTACCTGTCTGCCGCGAAATATTGTTTTGCAGGGAATCTAAACACGAGTCCTCACGGTTTACAAAAACCTTTAAATATAGGTAGTCAATAGATATAGGAATCAAAGCGGATTTTCTTCCTTTATATATATATAGAAAAGACCAAGAGGAAGAAGAAGCAGAGGGTGCCACAAAAAAGGTGGATAGAAGGAATAGAAGCGTTAGCAGGAAACGAATGGAGAAAGATAGCCATGGAAGAGGCCTATACCCGTGAAGAGGTTCCGATCAGTAGAACTGAAGGAAGCTAGGATATTAGGATAACAAAAAAAATGTTTATAACAAATCTAAACTGTATTCTAGTTTTGTAATTGTTAATAATTGTTTTGATATTAAGTTAAGCCAGCATGATCATGTAGGTCTTTCAAATTGCGAAACACAATTCAGTCTGAAATCAAATCCCTTGGGCCAAACTATCAACCTATCACCGTAAAAGTAATTAAGTATGATTACCGTATGACAAACATGTTTGACATATGGAAGCCATACTTAGACCTGCTTCTCCGACTCTGAATTTAAACTATCGTGTAAATAGCTAGTTAGCTATCGTGTAAATTCAGTCGAGAAGCCTAGTTAATAGTACAAAAGATCAGAGTCTTTCCCTTAATAGAGACTGTAAGTTGTGTTATTGGACACTTCCTTATGTTAAATATCCTTTTTAGTTTATTAGGTTTGCTTTAAATTACTTATTAGTCTCAAATTAGGCTAGATCATAATGTCAAATGATGTCTTTGTGCAGAGACAATTTATATAAAAAAGTACGCTATTTATTTCAAACAGACAACACAAACCGCGAACTAATGTTACACTATTAACAAACATGAACTGCAAATAAAATATTTTTTTGTTTGTCGATACTAAGCACATACGCAAACATTGCAAAAATCCCAAGTATGTCTGACGGTCAATGCGGGTGCTCAACATAAACTGATAAAGTGTTTTTGTTTTAATCGTATTTTTCATACAAATTGCTTTTCTAATGACATCATAAATATTTAAATACGCCATTCAAGTCACACAATGTTGTATCTAAACTTAATTTAGGTATTGGGTGAATTTGTCTATAAAAATGTAAATATTTTTTGTAGGACAAACGGTAATTATATACGTCTTTCAAACAACTGCATTTGTATAATACATGAATCATATGTACATTGTACATAGTAGTGAAGTTGCAAGTACAGCAAGTACCTAAATCCTAATACTTTTCTTGGCCGGTAAGCGTCGCTGTCATGGAAAAATATTAATATTGTCAGTAAATAAAAATAAGGAGAATAATTTGAAGTCATACTTGATAATTTATTTAAATGTCTTAATAAAACAATGTTTACTAGTATCTAGAAAATACAGTTCTAGGCTTAAATAAATGTGACAAAATTAGGAACAACTGATATGATAGGTTTTGTTACCTGTTCTATTTATATATCCTTTAAGATATCTAGCAATCAGAACCATTCGATAATTAAAACTTTACCATTGTAATTAATAATGCAAAGAATAAAAATGAATACATTTTAGTTGGATTTTAATTAGATGTTGGTAGATAGTAAAATTATTTATCGTGCATCAAAATGGCGACGGTAGTACCAATTTCAGCCGCCTGCCAAGAAAAGTATGTGGGAACTGTACATTACCTATATAACTTTATATCCGTCTAAGTATTTCTGTTTACTAATTAATCTATTACTTTTGTCTTTGGTTTCAACGCATTTATCATACAAATGGGTCTCAAGAGGCCTATCACTATAAAAGAACGGTGAAATGAAGAACGAGCGAAAGAATATGCGAGTTTAATATTATTATTTATTTTTATTAAATATATTGACAGTAAACATTACGCACTGCGGTAGAAATATTAACAAACCCTAACGAATGAAGTTGGATTAACAATTTTGTCGTTAAAAGGAAAGTTAGATGTTGGTACATATTCCTTTTGTTTTGTTTGACTTTAAACAAATTCCTTGAAACTTCACAGACGTTGAAAGTTTTGGCTTAGCTTTACAGGCCATTAATTCTATTGCTTTACAAATGTATAAATTATTGTGTTAAGCCATATCTATTTTAATGATAATCATGGTCGTAACTACAATGTTTTTATATATTACCAACTCTCGACTCATTTTTTACAGACTTACAAAATGTACTACCCCTGTGGTTGTTGGTTAGATAAGGTCGCATTTGTTAGTTTGATTCCCGGTGACGTGGTAAAATTATCAACTAAAAACGACACAGTAACGTATCTGCCTCATGATCTGGGTGGATAACGATTATTTATTATACCTTATAATATATTTATCATCATTTTCTTCACATTCAGAAAACATAAATTAAATACACAACGGGCGGCTTTATCGCTAACAAGCGATATCTTCCAGGCACAGTAAGTACAGAAATAAAAATAAATACTAAGAGTAAAGTGCAAATAAAATACAGATTATCGTATCAGATCAATCATTTAAGGATAAAAAGAAATTTAGTTTAGTTTCTTACATTTATCTGCGTTTACTAAAATAATATAAGGCCGTACCAATGGAACATTACCACACGATAAACTCGGCATTATCTTATATTATAACCTTGATATTAAACATCTAAACCTCACGAAAATATAATAGAAAACGTGACACTAAAATTAATTCGATTGTTACACAGGGCTGTGATCCAATTCCTGCTATTCGTATTCGGAGGCACGTAGCCGCGGACTGCTCGTGAAAATCTTAATAAAACTGTGGTTTTAAAAAAAATATTGAATAATCATAGTATATATAAGTAATCGTCTTATATTTCTCGAATAGTACACATGTCAGAAGGGAAACTTCTTTGCTAAACTAGTTTTTAACTCTTGTTCATATTTATACAAATCTAAAACTTCAGATTTCCGAGACTCAGAGGGATTAAAAATGGAAGATATGTTGGGAATTTAATGAATTTCATTTTCATTAAATTATTAAGTGTCGAAAATTAATACGAATAATATTTTTTTTTTAATTTATTTCTTCGATAATATTAAAATATAAAAACTTGGTATTTTTACATCAATTAGTAATTTGAGATTTCAATAAATTATTTTGCATAAAATACTAATATTTCATTAAGGTAATTCACCCTTCTCAGTCTCTCTCAATCGGTCTCAATGGCTCTCTCCCTTTCGACAAAAACGTGCACATCTTCGTGACGTTCCGTAAAAATTTTACCCTCATGCACCTAAAAAAGTTTCACTTCAATAAATCTTTCTCTATGTACATTACTTATTAGACTTTAGTAGTAACATTATATACACAATACATATATTG